GGCCAGATCGCGAGAGCACCGCGCGATCTCATCGTCGGGTTCGGCGGCGGGGACGGGGCGCTGTTGGGTGCCGCGTCTATCGTGGCTCGTCGGCGGGCGCGAGGTCCGTCTTGTGCAACGTATTGCTTCTTTTGCGGGGGTCGAGTGCGAGAGGCTGCCTGCGTACTGCGTGCGTCAGGCGCCGCGGCATCGACGTCGTTCGGAAATCGAGTCGAAGGCACTGCTGCGGTGATCCTTCTCGCGCGAACCTATAGCCTCTGTCTCCGGGTTTACGCGAGAAAGCCCCGAATGGGCGTGGACGTTCCGCAATGAAGGCTTTCGTAACTGATGCCCGTGGGCTCCTTTGCAGATCCATCCAATTCGCGCTGTGCGAACCCCAAGCCCGCTGAACGCAACTTGTTACATCGGTCTTTCCCAGGGGACGACGGGAGCACATGCTCTCTCCGAAATGTCGATGTGAGTGTATCTAGCAGTTTCGTCGCTTGTCGGAACTTCGTCTTCGTGATTTTGAAGACGTTGGTTGCTATGGAGGGGCCAGAACAAGTGTCCCCGCCGTGCGTAGGGAAACGCTTGTCCTGTCCTCGCCTGGATAGCATCGGCGACCCCGGAGTCTGGTCCTCCGCGCTCATCCTCGGGAAATTGAGATGCGCGAGGTCCGAACCGTCACATGTTATTAGGATTAGATAGCTGTGCGGGGCTGCACTCGTCGGCCATGGACTCCAGCTGCGATAGAGACGGGATTGATTTCGATTGTCACACCGCCCATGGTAGGCGGTGGTGCGTGCGCTCCACCTGGTTTTGTATTCGTTTGTCGGGCATGCCGTCATTGATAAGCAACCATATTACATGTCTGTGCATTTCCCTCTCACTGCCAACAGCCAGTGTTTGCGTCCCTTTGTACGTGGGCCCTCGACGCGCACAGGGACCGAGTAGGTGGATGGGTCGCGTTATCAGACGAGACACCCTTCAGGCCTGGCGCTCGGAGCGAGCGCTGCATGTCGGGAAGTCCCGTCCTCCGAGCCTCCTGGTGCCAGCCGCCCGTGCCCGCAGTGAACCTTCTCGGTTCGCAAGACAATCCCCATCCGGTTGTCGTGAGCAGTGCCGTCTAAATCTACCTGCTCCGGTCGCGTTTCAGGTACTTGTGCCCCTGTCCCACACAGTCGTTCTGTTCCCAAGGGTCGGTACGTGTGCGAGGTCTCCGCGGCACATGTTCCAATTAACCGTCATGTCAAGAGAGGAAGGTCGCGGGACCGCGCCCTCGTATAAGGCGGAGTGGCTGGGGGGGGAGTCACCACCCGTTTCATTCTCCACACTCCACTTCTCTTCGTCTTTACTCTCTGCGCCTGCGCGCCAGGACCGTGCGCTATGTCTACAACCCGCACCACTTTTCCAACGGGCGTCCGCGGCCAATGTCTCGGACGTCGCGTCGCACGGTGGTCGCCAGCGCGCGGGCAGCAACGCATATGTTCGCTTCTCCAACCAGACCGAGGAGTACCCACCAGCTCCGCCCGCGTTGATCCAAACACCCTCCCCTTCCCCCGAACGCTCCGCCTTTCCATCCACCACTCCTCCGCGCGGTCGACCTCCCGGATGTCACTCCCACCCTCGCGCCTTCTGCGCTCCCCGCCCTGCACGCCGCACCCCTCGCACAGCCATGACTTCCGAGGACCCGTCTTGGGCAACGCCACTCCCCGCGCCCCGGCTATGCCTTTGCACCCGCTCACGATCAAGAATGTGGCCCCGCCGTGCGGTCCCGCCCTCTCCCCGCCATTCCCCGCGCCCTCCGCGCAAGTCACCGCCCCGCTCCCCAGGGCACCGAGGACGCGGCGCTCGTTCCCGCCCCGGCGTCGGGCTCGCAGCTGTGCTCTCAGCCCTCACCATCACCCCCTGCGCATCCCACGTCCCTGCCACTGCCCACGACCAATCCAATATCCCCCCGCGCATCCCCCGCCCCGACGCAGCTGCGGCGCTGGAGCTCGCCCACGAACGCTGAGGGCGCGCGGCACGCCGACGAGCGTCCGCAGCGGGCACCAGTCGTCCGGGTCCGCAGACTCCACCCGCTCCCTCTTCGCAGAGCGGCATGGGACGCCTCCGACGTCACCTGACGACCCGAGTTCAAGCTGGGGATGACGTCGGGCCCGTGCTCGTCGACCTCCTGCGCTACTTCGTCGACTACCACACCTGGGACCTCCGCACCTGCAAGGAGCCTCCCCGCCGGACTTCCACTCAACCACCCGCGTTCACCAGCCACGGCGTTCTGAGCTCAAGCTGATGTTCAACCCGCTGTGGACCTTGGCGACGCGGAGCGCAGACGAGCAAGGCGGGCCGACGTTCGCCTGCACCGTCCGGCGCGAGGACAGAGCGCCGCTCACGGTGCGCGATGTCCTCAGCGCGATCGTGCGGAAGATGTACAAGAGCACGCAGTGGCTCACGGCGGACGACCCGAACGGGAGCTGGCGCTACGAGCATGCGGTCAAAGAGCGACGGCATCGGCTGGGCGCCGACGGGGACACGATGGTCAACGTCGACTGGTACCCCAGGCGCGAGAGCGTGCTGCTCGAGCTGCACCCGACGGACAATGTGGATGAGGTGTTGGTCATCTTAGGGGACCCGTCGCAGAACTGAGGTATGTGGGTCCGGGGGCTTGGTGTGCGTACGTCAGTGGCTAATTGACCCGTTCGTCTCGTATAGAGCACTGTCCGTTGGTTAAAGACGCGACTGCTCTCATGGCCCGGAATTGCGTTTTTATTACGACCCCACACGACCCCACACGCACACTCCCTGCACTCCTATCCTAATTTACCCCCTCTGCCTGCGCGTGCTCTATAATGCGGATCACGTTCGTACAGCTCTCACTAACTACTACTTTACAAGGAAACCCCATTACGCACGACACAATAGTACACATACATACAGTAGTCCCGGTGAACAGACTCGAGCTCCAGGCACGGCGCACGGCGCAACGCATGTTCTCGCTGATCGTCTCGTTTCGATCCCTCCAGTACTCCCCTCCCTCACCTGCTGAGACAAGGCTTTGAGTCTCGGCCCATACGCAGATACTGGCTGCGTTGTATGTAGCAGTAGCAAAGTCCGGCGGGATTCGGAATACTAGCAGACGTGGACCGTCGAGGCAAGAAAGCGTGGCTCCTGGGCCCTGGCACGAGCCCGCCTTTCTTGCCCTGAGGGTTCATTCATTCAGACCATCTTCCGGGTGACGATGTAGTTAGCTGCGCGGGTGATGTCTTAGCGTGTTGTGGGGCTCCGCGGCCGGCCTTCACAAAATCGGAGATAAAATCTGATGTAAATTCATGGAGAGCGCCAGCAGGTTTCGCCGAGCCGATAGGCGCCAGATCTTGTGTTCCTTTCTTACCACCACCACTTCCCCTCATTTACCGAACCCCGTCATACGGATGTAGCACACATACACACATCGATGTGCTGGCGGACTAGTAACCACCATGATCGAACATACGTCAACCCTGTGAAACAGCAAGTGTTGCGGTCGCGCGCGCGAGATCGCGGGAGCGCGGGCGAGGTCGAGCGGGCGCGGACAAGGGTAGGCGCACGTGCGCGGGAGAGGGTGTCGATTAGGCGGGTACGGGTGGCGTAAGCGTGTAAGGACGGTAGTGTAGAAGCGCGAGTGTCCTCGTTGGCTCGCAGAGCGGGAGGGAAGGAAAGGCGGGGGATGACGAGGGAGCCTGAGGCAATCGCGTGCCGAGGCAGGGATGCGGAGGCGGGCATATAAACCATGTACACTAATTAGTGGCTGCGGTGATCGTATGCTAAGACGTCCGTTGCGGGTGCGCGCCGATGCTCGTAAACGGATAGGCGGAGCAGGCCATAACAGCAAGCGCTTCTGAGCGCAGCTCGCCAGGTAAATTTGCGCACATCCCGGTCCGCTCTCTCGGCTAGCTTTGAGCTACATAGCTACTTATATGCGCAGCTCGTGCACGCTGACCCCACGTGCGACCAAACTCTGCGACAACCAGAAGCACCCTCACGCAAATCGCCTCCTTGCCGGGCACCGCAGCGCACCCCGTGGGGCCCCACCTCGTCACCCGTGGGACCCTGCAGGCTCACGATGAACCTACATGAACGTCCGCCCGCGGCTGTCCTATCCACCCTATTCATCGTGGCCAGCCTAAATCGGCCTCCTATGCTGCCGCATTGTTTATCGCCGGGATCAAGCTGCACGGCCACCCAGCCACCTCCTGGCGATCATGCATTGCTGGGCGCCGCCCCTGGTCGGCCATGCGGTGCTCACGCGCCCCGGGTGTGCGCTTTGGTTCCGAACTTGAAGCTTGAAGCTCCGAAGCTAGATCGCTCCGCGTCCCACGGAGACGGAGCGGACACGTGGACGAGCGGCCGGGGAAGAGGGCCGAGGCGCGAGAGTGGGTCCGGTGAGTCTCGATCGCCTGTTGGAGCTTCGCGGGAGGAACTGAGGGGACTGCTGTTCCAGGCGCTGCGGCTTTCGTCACCGGTCACTGCCATCGCTCACCCTCCGCGCTGCTGTGACCGCGGGACCCACAACCGTCCACTGAGAGCGGCGGCGTCGGAGAACACAAGATCTAAGCGCCGTCGGGCGTATGGACTCACGATCGGCGCACGTCTTGGTCTTGCCTGGGGCCACAGCAATCCCTTGTTTGCATCGCTCCTCGACGGTGGACCGTGGCCACCCGGCACCGCTCAGCGCTCGCACACAACATTCCAGGGCGGAGAACTCCGCGACAGGTGACGGAGTCGCGCGCGCGCACACACACAGTTTGTCCAGCACGAACCCCGTCGACATACTCAATTGATCGCGCTTTCGCCAATCTGGAGGTGCGACCGATGTGAACGTATCCTGGACATCCGCCCTACGTCATTGTGCTCCCCCAGATGGCTTCGATTGGGAGGACGCAGAGACGTGTTTCAGAGTTTAGTATAAGCACTAGTCGCAGCCTCGTCAGAAATATCACTGGAGAGGTACGCGTTCGAGATAATATCGAGCAATTATGCTCACTTTGGTCTCATGCACCTGGACTGAGTGGTCGCCCGGGGCTGTCGTAGCACGACGCGTGACGTCATCCCATGCATCCGGGGTCCCCCAAAGGACCCCAAAATTCTCCTGACAGATACGTTGAGCGCGCCAAATCGTCGCTTGCCTTTTGACCTCGTTCACCACGCTGCGAATATACCTTGTACCATCTGCGCACCTTCCACGTAACTGAGCCAAAGGTATGGTCTCTCGTTGTCTCAAATTTGTTATTCAGTTCAAACAAAACCTTCTAGATGAGCTCCTTTGGAGCGTCCATTCGTCACCGGACCTCCGGATGTGTTAATTCTCAGGCCCCTGAAAGCGTGCGCTGAGAGTGTGGTTACTCATTCATTTGAGACCCAGATATAAACGTCTAAACACTGGCCTGCTGCTGTTTGCTACCCCCATCTGCACAACTCGAGACTGTCCACGACTGCATCAATCATGAGCGTTCCCGACGTGAAAATCTTCCCCCACGCAACAGGTCTGGCTTCCGCGAGCACCAAGATAAGCAGGATCTCGTATTTTACTCCGGCTGGGTAAGCCTCGGCTCAGCGTTCAGTACCATCCTCTCACACTTACGTCCAGTTTTGCCCGTATGTCCAACGCACCTGGATCGTTCTCGAAGAGCGCGGCATTCCCTACCAGTACGTCGAAGTAAACCCATACAAGAAAGAGAAACACTTCCTCGGTACGTCCTTCTCGCGCTCGCGATGTTAGTGCTGCCTCAGCCGCATTCACCCCACGTACGGACAGAAATCAACCCAAAGGGTCTCGTCCCCGCCGTCGAGTGGAAGGGACAGGCGCTCTACGAATCCCTGATCCTATGCGAGTTCCTCGAGGACGCCTTCCTCTCCCAGACGCCCAGCATCCTCCCTTCCGATCCGATCGCGCGCGGCCGCGTGCGCATCTGGGTCGACTTCATCAGCAAGAGCGTCGTCCCCGCCTTCATGCGCACCGTCATGGCGCAGGAGCCCGCAAAGCAGGCAGACAATCTGCAGGAGTTCTACAACGCACTCCGAACGCTCATGGCGCAGGTCAAGGGCCCGTACTTCGCGGGCGAGGAGTTCACGCTTGCCGACGTCGCTATCGCGCCGTGGATTGTGCGCGACTATATACTGAGGGACAACCGAGGGTACGACCGGTCGGCGGTCGGCGGCGGGTGGAAGGAGTACGCTGAGAGGATTGAGTCGCGGGACAGCCTGAAGAAGACGAGCAGCGTATGTGGCGATCTTCATTTCGCGTGTGCTGGGATGCTTACACGAAGCTGTTGCAGGAGAAGGACAAGTACACGGAGATCTACGGGCGTTACTTGCGCGACGAAGCGATGAGTGAGGCAGCGAAGGCTGTCAGAGCCGGGCGTCCATTCTAGGTCGCGCCGCACTCACTGGAGGTGGGCAGGGTGTAGCGAGTCAATCCCACAACAATGTCGCATATATGCTTTTGCTACAGCGGCGGGCCGTACGTGCTTGATCTCAAGTCCGGAAGGACGGTGGTTTTATACCAACATTCGCAACGCCGTCATGCCCTCTCTTCATCCGACCATACTCTGCGCAAGTATAGTACGACGTCCTCGTTGTGGTATTCACTCACATCCATGTCGATTAATGGCGCCGCGATGGGGACGTGTCTCGTGCACCCGCCCAGCGTCCACACCTTGGTCTCGGGTCTGGAGAATGGAAGGACAGACCCTGGCGGCACCGCGGGAAGAGGCGTTTGGTCAGGTTCTCCCGAGCTCCGAGCGCGAGACCGGTGTTCTTGCTGTGCGTCCGCGCTCATGAAAGTGAGACAGAAGCCGCCGCCCGCGAAGCTCTGTCGGGCTTCTTGTCTACGTCAGCGAGGACCAGGCCCGTCGCAGGCCTCGCGCTATCGCGGTGTGGCAGCGTCTCTCTGGACGCTTTTAGCTCAGTAGACGCGGTGCCAGGGCGGTACTGATATGCTTATCGAGGGGGAATGGAGAGCGGCGATCGTCTACACTGGCGTGAATATCGTGGAATGGCTGGATCGTGAGTCTCAGAAACAAAGCCCAGCTGCACACTCTTTCACGGTGTTCCATACGGGTCCTCCATCCGACATCACAGGGTCTCCATGGGAGGCAAGCTTAGAAAAGGAGGGTATGTGTGAAGTCGGGAGGGCTATCGTGCGTACGTCAGGCTCCGGTCCCCCAGCATATCTGACTGCTGATAAATCCTGAAACACCTCACTGTGTCCTCCCAATCGCAGCCATCTGGACGAGCGCACTGACGCAGCGAATGGATGTCCAGGATGCGTCCACATTCCCCCTACTGAGCGAGCAGTGGGAGCCAAGGTTAGAGTTCTGCCAAGTGCCTCACAACCAAGGCGCTGCGGTAGGTCACGGCCCGGCCAAGTGTTATTGTCTTTGCGTCGCGGGCGGTGTCGAGTGGGCGCACCCACATCGGTCGCTGGACTGCCCCGACGCCGCTCGTCCCAACAGGTCCTCCCGACATATGACGCACACACTTCTGCTGACGCATGCCAGCCGTCTGTACAGCGTGCTTGTCTACGCTACTGTGCCCGGGCGACGCCACCGCCCGAGCGCCCGAGCCGACTCGTCGCGCCCGAATCTCTGGGTTCGCAGCCCCGGCGACGTGCGCGCACACCGACTTAGCCGGATGGACGTAGGGCGGGATGCACGCATGCCTGAGGGCGATGTTCATGCCCTCCTCTGTGGCACAAGACACGAGAGAGTGGATCATGTTGAAGGGGAGTTGTAATCGTCGCATACGCAGACAACCAAATATTGATATATCCCGACAACTCCACTCCCAGATAATGATGTAGTCCAGATACTACTGCTACGTGCATTGACAACACTGCCGTGCAGAGACATCGAGTGCGCCACGAACGAGGGGAGGATCTGCGCGTGAAGATGTGAGGGAACTACTCACCGTTTGGGCAACAGCCTGGCCGTGGCCAATCGTCACTGAAGCAAGCTGGCTCGTCGACAATGTCAACGTCGACATTGAAAACAACGAGCGGAGCTCGTGCCGCTTCAGGGGGTCACTAGATCCAAGGGAACCGGGCATAAGGTGCGAATGAACGCATGCATCCCAATTGGATACTCTCAGCAGAGTGTTGCGTGTGTCCTGGCAAGAAGGTGTCGTTGGCCGTGATGTTGTGGCTTGGAGGTGTAAGAGGCGAGTACAGGCGGGGAGTGGAGATGTCGACAGCAAGACGGACACACAGAGGGAAGCGACATGGTAGGAGGAGAGTGGGGAGTGGCGGTGAGACGCCATGGCCAGTCGCACTGCCCTCGCCCGGCGCTCCCTCCTCTCTTCCTCCGCCACAACCTTCTCTCCCCCGCATTCTAACCTCCTCCTGTCCATCCTCACGCTTGAATATTCCAAAAGTTTGACGGCGACCTCCAACGACCATGCAGAGGCCACAGTCAAGACACCGCCCACAGCGCGCACGGGAGTCTCTTCAGCGCCGCGGATTCGCATATCCCGCTCCTCCTCAGTCGGGTTGGGAAGGAGTGCCCACCGGTACACACAGACAGCAGGATGTCTATAATACGTGCGCACCGCTCCGCGATGTCCTCATCCAACCCAGCCCCGCCCCCTCGTACAGTCGGTGCCCTCCGTTCCACCCTCCGCCGCACCCTCCGCCGTCCTTCAGGCCATGCCCACCCTCACTCATCCCTCTCCACACTCTCGCCCCCTCCGCTCCTCGGCACTCCAGTCCCTGCCTCCCGCACCCAATTTCCCGCGCGCGCATGGCCATCCAGAGGTCTCGCGTGTCGGCGGCCACTACCAGTTGCAGCTTGCGCCCGCACACGACGCTGTCGTCGCGCGCCTAGTTCCTGGTCTGCAGGCCCTCCGCGTAGGGTCTGCTGATGGCACGGACGGCCTGGAGCACGGAGAACACCCCTCTCGCTCCTTCGACGGGCAAGAAACCCGCGCAAGGCTGGCGCAAGACGGTCCCGCGGCGAGTGGAAGCGGGAACGCGGCTCCGCGGCGTGCTCTCAGCTCGCGCAGGGAGGACGTCACCCCGGCCCGCGCTCTCGGCGTTTGGGAGGCATCGACCTGGGAATCGCCCACAGGCGATGCCTCCTCTGCCCACCCATCGCCATCGTCGCGCCTATCGCTCCCCCCATGGCCGTCGACTCCGCCGTCGAACCTTTCATCACCTCCACTCTCTTCTCCATCGGCTCCTCCAGCGGATACCCCCGGCAACGATGGCGTACGCCGCGGTAGCCCCGCGAGCAGCACTCGGTCGTCTGGCCCCTCCTTCTCCTTCAGCCCGAGCAGCGAAGGAGCGTCCCTGTGCATTACCCCTGCGACGTCCCCCGGGTCCAACGTGCATGACGAGTTGCCCGCGCCTGCACCTCCCCGCCCGCGCGTCCGATTCTATCGGGCCTCATCCACCACCCTCTCGACCTCGACTTCAACAACGGTGACACACACCTCGACGTCCACGACCACCCCCACCGCTCCATACCACCCCATCACCCCGTTCCTCGCCTCTCTCCCGCATCCTCACAGGTGGGACCTACGCGAAGCCCTCCCGCACGACCTCCTCCGCGACCCGCGCTGCGAAGATCAGGCATTCGGAACCGGCTTCTCGCGGTGCAAGATCGTCTTCAACGCAGGCTCGAACACCGAGTTCTTCGCGCATTGCACACCGTCTGGACGCGGACCCCTCACCGTCGCGGATGTCTTCAAATGCATCGCGAAGAAGCTCGCGGAGAGGTGCAATTGGTTGTTTGAGGACGAACCGGTTGGGGCGCGCGCGGGGCAGATCGGCCGTGCGTGTGGGGGCAACGCGACGTACGCGGACCTCCTGGACGGCGACCGGTGCTTCTTCTGGGGTCTGAATGAGACCGGAACGTCGCAGGAGTTTGCGGTGGTGCTGGGAGACAGGCGCCGGCCCGTCTAGGTGTGTCCGCACCGCAGCCGTCGCCGTCGAGCTCCCCGTTGACCGATGCCCTCTCCCTAGATCTTCCTCACGACGTCATATACCCCGTATGCTTTTCAACAAGGACTTTAATCATCGTCTCTCCACACGCTTATCGCGTGTCTCCCACCGTCGGACCATCTTTTACTCTCCACATGCTCGAGTTGTTTCCCATCCAGGGCTCTTCCCTCAGTACCGGACTCCTCATTCGGATTCCTAAAGACACTATCCATACCCCTCACGACATTCAACACGACTCCACTATCACGCGTTAGATACGACGGATGGTCATCCTCACTTATTTATCTACATATACCCTTCCCTTGGACATTGTATCTGGTCGGCAGAGCCACTCCGTGTCTGGACTTTGGCAGTGTTTACATGTCAATGATGACGTCTATTTCAAGCTCCGGCGCGGTTGTGAACTATGACGTCTTGTTCCGTGACCACAAGACTCATCAGGTCTCATAAGTATATGTCCAGTGTATACGCGCCCGGGTCTGCATGCACAACCCCCCGATGCGCATTTCTCCTCCACTCATTGCGTCGCTACAGACACATATGTACACGAAGAGCGTCTTATGGCGCCCGTCTGTGTGCAGAGCAGAAACTCGGGGATACCAATAACATCTCGTACGCCGGGCTGCGCACACGCTTCGTCCCCCTCCACATAACCAACTTGATCCGCTTCGCCAATCTCACAAGACATAATCTTGATCCATCTGGATGGCATCGAGCCACCAGACGTGCAGATCGGGCGTGTGCCGCGTCCGATCGCGGGAGGGTCCATGCGCGAACAAGCCGCTCCGATCTCCATCCGTTCTCTGCGCGCCGCGGCGCCCCGGCCGCGCGCGTGCCACAGGGACCCACAGGCGGCCAGTGCGCACGCCTCCGTGGAGCGTACGCGTGGACGGGGTAGATCGCCCCGGCGGCGACGCGGGGGTGCGCGCGTGCGCACTCCGCCCGCCCCACCGCGGCCTTCCCGCGAGCCTTTTGTGCTTCGGCTCGCTTCGCTCGGGCCACGGCGAACGGTTGCTCCGGATCCGCCCGTGTCGGACGCGGCTCTGTGTGCGCCGTCCTGCGTGAAGCCCGCAAGCGAGGTGAGCGATGATTGCGCCTGGTGCAGGTAGATGGATGCCATAGGAGGAACGTACGCTCTGCGGACCGGGTGGGTCGATCGGGCAGTCACAGAGCACGATGGAAGCGAGCGAGTTGTTTCGGGAATTGTGTACCAACTGCAGCGGGGCGTTGAGCGACTTCGTCGACAAACAAACGAGAGACTCGCCGACTGGGCTGTTCGAGGCCTTGGGGAGGGATTGCTGTTCTACAACCGCACGGGTGCGAAGCCACAAAGGTATCTGCGACGTTGAGGCCTCGTCTTGAAGCGAGGAATGTGGTATGTGCACGAGACAGAGGATGTACCTGGGTGTCATTTCGGTCGCGCCGCAGACGTACATCGGGCTGAGTGGCATGACCTCAGGAGGACTGTCAAGACCGGAGCCTGGCCACAGCAGCGTAACAACGTCGTGCCATTGCCATTCGCGACGCCTGCAAGTTCACTTGCCCATCGCTCTATGTGACCACTCGGGACGTATCTCGTACTGCTGCGCGGCCACCCACGCCATGTGCATGTCCAGGCAGGCGGTGGACCACTTTGTCTGACACAGGTCTTGGCCTGTCGTCCCAGAATACACTCGCGCTTGGCACTACAAGGGGGCATGTCGCTGGGAGTTGCCGCAGCAGGAGCGGGTTTGGAAGGACGGGAACGACAGACCGGTCGAGCGTGGGGCTCTGCAGGCGCCCTTCTGGACAAAGCGAGTCTCAAGGACGGCCGGGCTCCCTCGCGCTCGGCGCCAGCGCCGCCGACGCAAACGCGCGAGAGCCCGGACTCGACCGCGACGGTGTAGAGAGCGGTTCTGTCGATACGCGACGTACCCGCGGAAGCCCGCGCACGGACGCGGGCGAGCGGAGCGTCCCAACGAGCCGCGCGACGACCGAACGCGTCTGAGCACGAGGCTCACTCGACGCTCGTCCGGGCGGGACAAAGGGAGACAAAGCCCGTCCGCCTCAAGCTTTTCCCCCGTGCGCCCGCCGTCCGCATCCGTCTGGCCGCGCGCTGGGTGGGAGCGGTGCTGGAGCGTCCCCCTGAGCCTTCTAGAAGCCAAGCCACAAACGCGTAGACCGGTGACGCGTACAACGCCCACCCGCTTTCCCAGCTTCTGCGTACGGCCGGTGCGAACAGGTCTTGAGAGCAATCTCAGGGTGCCGAGTCATGCTCTCTGGCACGGCGTGAGAGCTCGACGGGCCAGAGAGCGTGCCATTGGCGGCAAGACACAACACAATGCAGGAATCCTACGTTGGACACTCACCCATTTTACGGCTCTGCTGCTCTCGAGCTCAATTAGGATGGTGTCTAGTTTGACAGCACGTCGAATCCACATAAATGATTGAAAATGGAAAGAGTCAAGCGTACGATCGTCACAAAAGGCTCAAGAGAATATGGCTTCTGGTGCGTGACAAGGTCTCGCTGATCTAGTGTGGATCTTGAATGGGGAGAGGTGACGACACGGACGACGATGTGATTGAAGATGCGAATACCCGGAACATTCGCCCGCGGCGTCCCTCTGCGATCTAAATCTCCAGTAGTTGTGTGTGTGGCAGGCGATAGTTGCGCCTGAGGAGCAGTTGGGTAGCAAGTGCCGATGTGGAAGGGTAGGCCGGGGATTTGATGTGGAGACCGCCAGATTTGATCCAGAGATGAGGGGATGTGGCGTTCGGCCAGACAAAGAGGGAGAAGAGCGAGGCGGAGAGCAAAGCGAGAGCGTTGGAAAATCTGAGACCGTCGGGAGTTGAAGGAGCATAGACGCTGTCCCCGGCCCGGAACTACCCTCAACGTCGACATTCAACGCGCGCTACAGCAGATTGTCCCGCCCCCACATCTTGTGCAAACATCCAAACAACCATCTGACCCCCTCTACCGACACGTCCTCGCAATGGCAAGCCAGCAAGTCCAACGGTGCCCCCAGCGCGCACGGGAGTCGCGTCCGGCACGCAAAGACCATCGAACAGCCCCTCCTTCCAAATCCGCGAATTCTACTGACCACTCCAGAGAAGTCCCTGCCCACTAGCAGTATATAAAAGGTGCGCCCTGCTCAGCCACACTCCTGCTCATGCCCCAATCGCCCTCTCGTTCTCCCCTCGCTCTCACTCCTCCTCGTTCCTCTGCTTCAGAGTTCGCACCCACCCCCGGTGAAAACACCCGCACCTCCCCCTCCCCCTCCAAATCGGCAATGGCTCAGCCACAGGATCGCCCATCTGGGCTCTCGCGTGGCCAACCCACGACCGACGTCGCGTGCGGGAGTCCTCCCAGCGCGCGCGCACGCGAGGCCTCCCGGTCCAGTGCTGGTCGGCTTCCGGACTCGTTTGGGAGAAGACAGACCACCACGCTTGGCGGTGATCCCCTCGCTCGTGGCGAAGAAGCGCACGGTCGGCGCGGAAGCGCTCCGGCGTTGTCCACTCCCTCCGGCCCGACGCTGGGGCAGAAGCCATCGATTGTCCGCTCGTCGCGACTGATAATCCCTCCGCTGCCCCAGCCTGCCCCGCCTCCGTCCTGCCTCCCCCCTCCCCCGTCCCCTCCCCCGCCGCCGTATACCCTTCTCCCACCGCCGCTCATCTGCCCTCCCCCGCCGTTAATCTTTCCTTCCCCGCCGTCTGCCCTCCCGCCGCCGCCTTCTGGTCTCCCACCACCACCACCATGCACTACCTCTCTTGCGCCCCCGCCAATCCCCCCGCAGCACACGCGGCCCTCCGTGCCACTGGATGAGCGTGCGCATGCGCCATTCCTTCCACCGTCATCCGCCTCGCGGCCGCTGCCCATCCCTCCAGCTCCGCCGGCGTCCGTCCACGCCTCCCACCCCGGCGTTCCCGTCGGCCGCGTTCCCGACACTCCCCCGAACACTCGCCCCGGATCCAAAGCGTCGTATGCGTCCAGCTGGACTGGAGCCACCGACAGCAGCTCCGACGGGGGGCCCGGCGTGTCCCTGTATGGCACTCCGCTCACGTCCCCCGAGGTCGCTACTCGCGCCGTCAAGCCCGCGCGCCCGCCTAAGCCCGCCGCCGTGAGGTTCGTCTCCGCGCCTGTGTCTCTCGGCCCCGCGTCCCAACCTGCTCCCGCGAACTCCACACCCTCGACCTCGGCGGTCGCGAAACCCAGGCCTTCGTTCCACAGGCCTCTGGTTCCTCCGCCGTCCACCGTCCCTGTCACGCACGCCCCCGCTGCTGCCGCTCCCGTTGCTTTCGCCGCCGCTCCGCCTGCTCCCATCACCGACCTCCTCGCCTCTTTCCCTCTCCGATGGGACGTTCGCGAGCGCCTTACCCCGGCCTTCCTACACGACGGTCGCCTCCGACAACCCGCCTTCGCGGCTGGGCTCACCGAATGTCGAGCGGTGTTCAACGCCGACATTCCGCACGAGCGATTCGTCGCGATGTGCAGGGCCTCTCGGGATGGCAGTCCCCTTACTATTGGGGACGTCCTGCGCGGGATCGACGAGAAGTTGGCGAGCACGCCCAATGTCAGCACGGAGGAACCGGCTGGCGCGCGGGCGGCGTACCGCCGTCGTGCCAGGGGCGCTTCGGGGCCGATTACCTATGTCGACTTTGTGATGGCGAACGAGTTCTTCTTCCTGGGACTGAGGGAGACCAACGTGCCGGGGGAGTTTGCCGTTGTGCTAGGAGAGTAGTTCTAGGTGCGTTTACGCTGGACCACGCTACTCCCGTTCATTCCCGTTCGTGCCCTAATACACTGCACGAAACCTCGACGATCCGCTGTAGAAGCCCATGCATATCTTATCGCTATGTCTTGTATACCGTTTTTCACTCATATTCTCCATCTTGTACCCCCATCTTCCGCCCACCCCACTGTCCTTATCGCCTCCTGGACGTTCTCCTTACTCCTGTTCACTCCCCCCTACCCTTTCTGTACTCTTTTCTCACTGTTTGCTCCGAACACTCCTACTGTATCGTCTAGCATCTCCCCCTCTGTGTTCAACAGTTGTTTCACGCCTCTCTTCTCAAGTTGGACTTGTACCCTACATACTCTATATTCCCCGCACGACATCGCTCGCGCCTCGCATCAATGACACTATGTTTGTATGTGAACTGCATTGTGTGTGGCTATTGTTCGCCCTCAGATCGCGCTGTGGCCGTGGGCCACACAAGGTCTCAGATCTGTCCGCTGCCAATACAAGATCTAAGCGCCGACTGTTCGTTCGACTCGCGGTATGATTCAATTCCGCCCCGGCTCCTCCCTTGTTGATGACCCGTAGCCTCGAGGCACGGCGAGATGGGTGACGTCGCGCAAGCGGTGGTGTGCACACAGTTCGTCTACCAGCGTTCGCTAGTCTCAATCTCCTCCCTCGCTCGCGTCCACCACGATCGGGGACCCCGCGCGCACATGCCCACTCGGCTAGCCGCGCTCTGGCCGTCCTCCGTTCCTCACCCGGGCGTACGTAGATACCACAAGGACCCACGCGCCGCGCGGCGAATGCGATAGATCTTCCGTCGCGGAGCGTTCGCGTGGCTCGGCCTAGGCCTCGGGACACGGACCTGATCGACAGTACTCCGTGCGGCCCCACCGCGGGGATCATGGATTGTCTCTGGTCCACGCGACCGCAGCGCGGGGCGCGGGTGTACATTCCGCTCGCGCCGGATGCTGCTCCGCGTTCCACGCAGTCGCGCGAGCTTGGGGGAGTGCGAGACTGGCCGAGCTCAGTGGCAGTACTTGGGGGGCGTGGGAGAGTGACATCACAGAATATGACCGTGCTCGCGTGGTGATCGATCGGATCCATTTCTCTGTAACCTACCATGCTGAACCCCTCCGACCACCCGCTGCTCAAATACGACATCCTCGTCGAGGTCTTCAGCAAGATCGAGATTTCAGGACAAGACGGGTGGCCTTATTACTGGGGCGACGACGCTTACTGTGAAGTCAAGGGCGAAGGCTCGACGACGTTGGCCAGGGCCGCACGAGTATGCAAAGCGTTCTCTGATCCGGCTCTGGATGAGTTATGGGCAGCCCCTTGTGGTGGATTTTACACACTCCTCCACCTTCTCTCAGCATTACGGGTCACATCAACGGAGCAGTGCGCGATTGGAAACTCCAGAAAAGGGTTTTCCCGAACTAAGTACGATTTTAGAACCTATGTAAGAGCTATGCGTGTCTTTATATCTCCAAGGAGATCTGACGTGCTCCCTCGTCCCCAGGATCTTGACGATCATGTTAATCTACAAGAATGGGAGCGCATGCAATCATATGCATCTCGCATCCGCAGATTCGGCTTCTTCACATCTTCTGGACCTGGTGTCTGGTTGGCGTATGGCATCACCCCAGCTTCTTTCGAGGTGCTCTACAGGCTAGCTGAAGGCCGCACCCTCTTTCCCAACCTGCAAGTCCTGTGTTGCCAGCTTGGAAGCTCGCGACCATCTCCTGATGACCCCTATACGACCTCCTCCTCCGCATCGTGGTCTCTCCGGTCCTTGCCGATGTAACGTTCAGGCATCCTCGCCATGGGACGAGCGATTGGGGATACTCCAGGGACATCGCCGAAGCTCCTTCCAACATCACTACCATCGTCTCGCGATGTCCTTCCATATGTCGGTTTGTAGCGGATCTCCAGTATACGACGAAGGATCTCTCTCCCCTCGCTCAGTGCCGCACACTGCAGTCCATTTGCATAAACAAGGGGAAAGTGGGAGTCGTTCTATTGATGCAACTTAGCTCACTTCCCAGACTCGAGCTCCTCCAACTAAGCCTCCTGGACGTCGGCGAGGAAGAAGACAGCCAGACAGACATAGCCCTTGAAGTCGACCAAGACGTTTTCCCCGCCCTCCGTGAGCTCGTCATACAACATTGTGGGGCCGTGGCGATCGGACGAGCACTAGCCCTGCTCAGCACCTCGCCCTCCTGCCCACTCGCGTCCCTCCGCCTCGACGCGTCGCACCGCTCAGATCTCGAGGCGGTCAACGTCGTGCGGCACCTCGCATTGCCGTCCTTCGGCCGCACTCTCCGGACCCTCTGCCTGCTCTTCTCGTACCACAGCACGATCTGGGATTGGGAGCAGACCACCAGCCTCGAGCCGTTCCCGGCCCGCGCCGTGCTCGAGCCCCTGCTCTCCCTCGGCGCGCTCGAGGACGTCGAGGTGTACACGCGCGAGCGGCCCCTCGCCCTCGCCGACGCGGACCTCGTGCGCTGGGCGCGCGCGTGGCCGCGCCTCCGCCGCCTCCGCGTCGTGTACGACGGCGACGACTACCCGCAAGCGCACGAGGCGCGCGCGACGGACCCGGAGCTCCCCTCGCTCCTCGCCGCGGCGGACCTCGCGACGGCGTGCGCGCGCCTGGAGGTGCTCGTGCTCGCGCTCGCGGACGTCACGGAGGCGGACGCGCGCGCGCTGGAGGCGCGGGCGCGGGCGGAGAGCGGCGGGCAGGGCGCGCTCGTGCAGCTAGTTCCCGCGGGGAGCGGGACGCGGCGCGAGCGGATGCGGATCTGGGAGACGGAGCGGGTGTGCGGGGCGCTGCTGCGGATGTTCCCCAACCTCGAAGGGAGCGGGATCCTGGAGGACGGGGAGCGGCGGGTGGTCGCAGGGAGGACGAGCTGGTGGGTGGGGAGGCGGAGCAGCGAGCGCCGGACGCGTTCATGTTGTGTCTCGACAGGCTCCAGGCGGAGAGGCGGGGGATTCGGCGCGAGTTCGATGAGACCGGGGCTAGATATAGGTAGGTGAGAATGTGGAGTGCATTTGTCTCGATTCGACATAAGTCACGTGTCAGCGCGTCGCGGTGGGCGGGCGCGCCGAACGCATCGGCTCGAGCTCGAGAAGCCGCGAGGCCACCGAGCACGCGAAGATAGACTCTGGGTGGCAGGTTCGACTCCGACTGGGGGCGGGCGGACTGATTCGGAGAAATGCGCAACCAGGGAAGTCGCGGAGATCTGGACGAGACGAGATCATGCGGCGCAAGTCCGCGGCAACCTGATGGCGGCACCTGTCGGAGTGCCGCGGTGAGGCCTCGAGGCCCGCGGCACGTCCGCGAGTGCGGTTGAGGCAGATCGTCCAGGGGGAAGGAGACGCGGGGATTCTCCATATGTAGAAGTTCCTTGAGCGGCTGGATTCCTCCGGGCTAGATCGCAGTCGACTGACTTGTCTACCTTCACTTCCAGCTCGCAGACGTTCACAGCCGGAGACGTCCCGATCCTACCGGATAGCCTGCCGTGACGTCACCGCACCGCGTCGCACGTGATCCAAGGATCCCAAACGAGCGCGACGCGACGCGACGCGTCCGCCGCGCATGTCTCTGAATCAGTCCGTCTCCCGTGGCCACACCAGCCGCGCTGGTACCAGATCTTCTCGAGGCGATGTGGGCTTGGTCTGGTGTGCGGACGCCAGCCAATTATCCGTTCCGAGCGACGTCCCTTAGCGCGCGAAGTCAGACCCGCTCGCCTTTCATGCTCCCTCTCGGAAAGTAGACCATGTTTTTCGAGGAAAATAAGGTCTTTTACTCGCGCTGAACACGCGAAGCTCGTTGCTCCAACAGCGCCTACAGCGCGTGAGCGAGTCGTGTCCTACTCGTCTCCATCGCACAGAACCGCACATCGAATCTCTTGGTGTGCAGGTATGACTCTGTCACGAACGCCTGTTTCGTGCTCAAGGAGGAAAGGATGTCCCATATAAAAAGTCGGTCCTCAAACCCCCATATCACAACTCCCCTCTCATTCATCCCTCCTGCCTTAACCTCAAAGCCAACGGCGTACCCATCCGACATGAACCCTCATTCCAACCTCCCTCCGCCTCCTCCAGAGCAAACCAACGCTTCAGCACGCAATCGCGTTAACGGGGTCAACACGCCCGCCGGTCTGTGCCTCATGAAACCGAGGCTACGCGACATGGTGACGTCGAACGCAGGGATGCTCCCGGCGCGAGCGCACGGCACGGTCCGGCCGCGGAGAACACTCCAACGGAGGCACCGCGAGCTCTTCCAGAGCCGCCCCGGGCACGCATCTTGCACCTTCGGCAATCGGGCCAGCTGGGCCGTCTCTGCCTCGTCCTCACGCCCGCGCAGACGTGAACGAAGCGGCGCGCGCGCAGGGCTCGCGCGCGGGTGGGCAGTGGGCGCAAACGCTTCGACGCCGCCTGACCGGCGCCGGGAGTCTCAGCCACCGTTCCCGGCTGCCCCGCCGTTCCACCAGTCCACTCCCCAGGCGCCTCGCGTTGTTGCGCGACCACTCCCTCTTCACCCACCGTCCTCTGGACTTCCGCCGTCGTTCCCGGCTGCCCCGCCGTTCAACCAGTACACTCCCCAGGCGCCTCGCGTTGTTTCGCAACCGCTCCCTCGTCTCCCACCACTTTCCCTCCCACTGCCACCACCGTTCCCGGCTGCCCCACCGTTCAACCAGTCCACTCCCCAGGCGCCTCGCGTCATTGCGCGACCACTCCCTCTTCACCCACCGTCCCATGGACTTCCGCCGTCGTTCCCGGCTGCCCCTCCGTTTAACCAGTCCACTCCCCAGGCACCTCGCGTTATTACGCAACCACTCCCTCTTCACCCATCGTCCTCTAGACTTCCGCCGTCGCTTGACCATGCTCCGCCATCGCATACCGGCACCGGGCCTCCGCCGCCCTCTGGTCCCTGGCCTCCCGGGACCCATCGCCCTGCCTTCCACCCGCCCCCGTCGGGGCCTGTCTATCCTCCGCTGCCGCGGCGCACCCCTTGAGGAAAGACCGCGGACTGAAGGGGACCGCCATTCCAGGCGAGTTCGTCGCTGTGCTAGGCGACGCTTTTCATTCACGATACGTGCGCGCACTCTATGTTCTCCATCTTATACCCACATCTTCCGCTCACCTTACTGTCACTATCGCTTCATCTTCATCCCCGGACCCTCTTGTCATCCTTTTCTACATTTCATCTTCTCTATTATTCCCTTGCTTCCTCTTTAATTTCCTTCGCTTTCTTCTCTGATTCCTTCCATCACTCTCACCCTGCTGTATCATCTAGCATCTCCCCTCTGTTGTCGGATTTTCTCTCCTCTCTTCTAACCTTGGATTACTCTTCTCACCTCGTACCGGTATCCTACACGATCTGTATTCCCCGCACGACATCGCCCACGTCTTCATCCCCATGCATCACAATACACCACATACCCAATGTTTAGTACCCCTCCCCTTGGCCTTGTCCTCCTTCACACCCTTCACTACGAAACCTTTGATCTTTACCTTTTTGACCCATCAGTCGACGCCGAACCGTACTCTGGACTTTACCCCTACACATACTTACACGGAGGAGAAGTGAGACCTGTTCTTCGTGAGCGGGAGAGCGGCCTCGCTTCAATGAAACTATGTTTGTATGCAATCTCCTCATGCATTGCACGCGTGCGCCGGTTACCTCTTGTTCTCCTCAGATCACGCTGTGGGCGCGGGACCCATAAGGTCTCAGAATCGTCCACTGAGGGTGGTGGCGGCGGCGCAGAATACAAGAACAAGCGCCGGGAGCATTCCGGACCCACCACCATCGGCGCATGTCTTGGTCTTGCAGGCTGGAGCCACATCAATCCCTTATTTGCATCGATCCTCGTTGGAGAACCATAGCCACGCGGCGCCGGCCCGCGCTCGCATACCACATCCCAAGGCCGAGAAGCCCGATAGGCCGGGACGGAGTCGCGCACGGCTTCATCCTGGATCCAGCACGAGCCCCGTGAACGTTCTCAACTGATCCGCGCTTTCGCCAACGTCAATCTCAGACCTCACCCGTTAACGTCCACCACAATGATCGGGAAATTCCCCTCGGGCCCGCGCTGCAGCCTGGAAGTCTGGAATCGCCCGCCTCACCGCGCTCCCGGCGCGCGCGGGCACGACGATGACGTCGCGAGCCTCCCTCCTGGTATGCAGGCCTTCCGCGTAGGGTCTGCCGGCGGGATGAACGGCCTGGAGCACACCTCTCGCACCCTCCATGGGCAAGAACACCGCGCAAGCCTCGCGCAAGACCGTCCCGCGGCGAGTGCAAACGGGAGCGCGGCTCCGCGCCGTGCTCTCAGCTCGCGCGAGAGCGCCAGGGAAGACGCCGCCACGGGCCGCGCTCTCGGCGTTCAAGAGACATCGACCTGGGAATCGCCCACCTTCACTGCCCACTCATCGCCGTTGTCACGCTTATCGCTCCCTCCATGGCCGTCCACTCCGTCATCGAGCCTCAGTCCACCCCCATTCTCTCGTCTCCATCGGCTCCTGCAGCGGACGTCCGCGGCAACGATGGTGCACGCTGCGGCAGCCCCCCGAGCAGCCACCGGTCGTCTAGCACCTCGTTCTCCCTCAGCACGAGCAGCGAAGGGGCGTCCACGTATGCTACCCCTGCGACCTCCCCCGGATCGGCGAGCTGCCCACGCCTCCACCTCCCCGCGCGCGCGTCCGATTCTATCGGGCCCCATCCACTACCCCGTCGACCTCGACTTCAACGGCGGTGACATACACATCGACGTCCACGGCCGCCATCACTGCTCCGTATAACTCCATCACCCCGTTCCTCGCCTCTCTCCCCGTCCCCACCTGAGGTGGGACCTGCGCAAAGCCCTCTCGAACGACCCCCTCCGCGACCCACGCTGCTTCGCAACCGGCTTCTCGCGGTGCAAGATCGTCTTCAACCCAGGCTCGAACACCGAGTTCTTCGCGCACTGCACACCGTCTGGGCGCGGACCTCTCACCGTCGCGGACGTCCTCAACTGCATTGCGAAGAAGCTCGCGGAGAGGTGCAATCGGCTCTTCGAGGACGAACCGGTTGGGGCACGCGCGGGTGGAGCGGCCGTGCGTGTGGGGGCGACGCGACGCACGCGGACCTCCTGGGCAGCGACCGGTGCTTCTTCTGTGGTCTGAAGGAGACCGGAAGGTCGCGGGAGTTCGCGGTGGTGCTGGGGGGCCGCCGCTAGCCTGTCTAGGTATGTCTACCACTAGTGCAAGATCTAGGCGTTCGGGTCTGAACCCTATTTTTTTCGCTATCTCCATTCATTGCCTCGCCACACACGGAGAGTGTCTTATGACGCTCGTCCGTGTGCAGATCCGGAAGGCGGTACCAATGATTCCTCGCCCGCTAGGCTGCACACACACCTCATCGTACCACCCTGCAGATCCGCTCCTCCGCCAATCTCACCCGCACACATGGAGTGAAATCTCGATCGACCTGGATGGCCGAGAGCCACCGGCCGTGCAAATCGTGCGCACCGCTTCCGATCGGGGGTTCCAAGTACGATCGTACAAGCCGCTCTGGACCTCCATTCTCTGCGCGCCGCCGCGCCCCGGCTGCGCAACGCAGGGACCCACAAGCCGCCGCTGTACCTCCGCGGAGGAGCGCACGCGCGGACGCGTGTGTGCGTGTGCGCACTCCACGTTCGTGTGCATCTTCTTCGGCCCTTCTGCGAGCCTTTTTGGCTTCGGCGAGCTTGGGCCGCGCCGGAAAGCAGCCGCTGGATCCGTGCGCACCGTCCTGCCTGGAGCTCGCAAGTGATGTGACGACAATCGCGCGTCGTGCGGTGCAGATAGATGCGCGTTCTGCGAACCGGGTGCGTCCGTCGGGCAGCAGAGCTTGTTTCGGGGTCTGCGCACTAAATACAGCTGCTGGGCGTTGAGAGGATTCGACGACGGTGAGAGATCTAGACTCATCGATTGCCGAGCTGTTCGAGTGTAGTGATGTATCGATAATGTTGAAATGCATACACGGCACTGATGGAGTCTAGTTTGAAATTGCTTCAGATCCATTCAAGTGGAAAGGGACGAGCGTACAATCACCATGGAGTCCTACTAAAGGCCTGCGGACAACAAGAGAATATGAGCTCTGGTGCATGACAAGGTATCGCTGTTGATCTGGTGTAGGCAGGGGGTTTGATGCAGAGGTCGCCGAACCAGATCCAGAGATGAGGGGATGTGGCGTTTGGCCAGACCAAGAGGGCGAAGAGCGAGGGCGAGAGCAAAGCGAGCCCGGTCCGTTGGAAAGTCACCGGCTGCGGGAGAATAGACGCTCTTCCGGCCTGCCAGATCCAAATACCCCATTTCACATGCGCAGCGAGTCGTTGCACTGCCTCTCTTCAACTCTCTCTCTCTTAGTCCGCGCTACCTCCCCTTCCCTCTAAGCCCGGTTGCGGGCTGGCTTGACCCGGTCGCGGACTCGGCCGCCTGCCCCCTCCGATCCCCACATCCCCGCCGGGCTTGTCGCACCAACGCGCGTCGCCTACGGGGTCCACTCATTCAACCCTTCCCCTCCCGCTCCCTTTCATCGGAGGGCTTCTAGTCTGTTCCGGTGAATCGGCGCACTCCCCCTACCCGCCGTCGAGCTCCGGCTCGTCCTTGTCGGGCCCACCCGCGGCCCCCCTCTGCCTCTTTCGCAGGTGCGCCCAACCCCCCGGGATAGACAGAAAATAATAATAATAATCTGAGTCCGCGTCCTTCTCTCTCCCTCAGAAGACGCCGAACTGCATGTTCTCTCTCTCTCTCAGACTCAACGCCTGCTACGGCAGGCTCACCAACTCTCTGCTCTCCCGCTGCTCGCGCAAGCATCCAATGACCTGGCCACGTGTTGTACCGACGGGTACTCGCAATGTCAAGTCAGCACGCTCAACAGCGCCAACGGGAGTCGCGTCCGGTGTGCAATGCCCATAGAATCTTTCCAAATCCGGTGCGAATGCCACTGAACACTCCAGAGAAACCTGTACACACCAGCAGTATATAAGAGGTGTGTCTTGCTTTGCGGCACTCTAATCGCCCTCGTTCTTCCTTCGCTCTCGCTCCTCCTCAATCCTCTGCTTCAAAGCTCGCCACACCATCCCATGAAACCACCCATTCCTCCTTCTCCGCCAAGAGTCTTCACGGCGGGCCAGCCACAGCGGGCCGATCGCTCTCGCTTTGGCGGGGGCTCGCACGGCGAGCCCACGACCGATGTCGCGTGTGCGGGTCCTCAACCCAGCGCGCGCGCACACGACGGCTCCCGGTCCAGTACTGGTCGTCTCCCAGACTCGTTCGGGGGAACTCAGGCCACCACGCTCGGCGGTCTGCCCCTCGCTCGTGCAGTCGAAGGCACAGCGGACGGCCGGCGCGGAGGCGGAGCGCACGCCCCTACGCCCTCCAGACAGACGCTGGGGTGGCAAAAGCCGTCGAATGTCCGTTCGCGATCGCGACTGATAATCCCTCCATTACCTCACTGGACTGCCCCGCCGCCGCCGTCCGCCTTCTCGCCGCCGTTTGCCCTCCCGCCGCCGCCGTCGCCATGCGTTTTCCCCCCTGCGCCCCCTCCGATTCCGCCCCCGCACACGAGGCCCCAAGTCAAGCATGCGCGTTCTTCGCCTGCTTCAGTCCTTCCGCCGCCATCCGCTCCGCGGCCGCTGCCCACCCATCCAGCTGCACCGGCGTGCGTCCCCGCCTCCCACCTTGACGTCCCTGTCCAAAGCCATGCTCCCCCGAACAATCGCTCTATGTCCAGGGCCTCGTATGCGTCCAGCTGGAGCAGCTCCGATGGGGGGCCCGGCGTGTCCGTGTGTGGCACTCCGCTCACGCCCCCCGAGGCCGTTTCTCGCGCCCTCAAGCCCGCGCGCGCCGCCGGGAGGTTCGTCCCCGCATCTGCGACCCCCGACTCCGCGTCCAAATCTGCTCCCGCGAGCTCCGCGCCGTCGACCCCGACGCCTGCCAAGAGCAGGCCTCCGTCCCAGGCCGTCGCGCCCGCGTCCTCTCCCTCCGCCCGGCCCCATCCGCCCCGTCGTCGGGATTCTGGCGCACTTCGCTCCTCCCCGGTGGGACCTCCGTGATCGCCTCAACGACGCCTTCCCGTCCGAAGACCGCTTCCGCAAACTCGCCTTCACGGATCGGCGCACCGAGTGCACGGTCGTGTTTAATGCCGACTCACTGGATCTGCGGTTCGTCGTGGCCTGCAAAGCGCCTCGGGCCGGTTATCCCCTCACCGTCGCGGACGTCCTGCGCGACATCGACAAGAAGATGCAGCGGACACCTGCCTGGGCCAACCACAAGGACCCGACTGTGGAGCGAGCGTATCACACTCGTCTGGCCAGAGGCAAGGGAGGGCCAATCACCTATGCGGACTTTCTGAAGCCGGGTCGGGCTTTCTTCCTAGGGCTTTTTGAGACCTTCGTGCCGGGAGAGTTCGTTGCTGTGCTAGGAGACCGCCATGGGCAGCTCTAGGTGTGTCGATGTTGAATTACGCTTGCTGAATTGATCCTCGCCGACTATGCGCTTCCCTCAGGCTAATATCCTCGGTGATAATCACCTTGCGATGCGTATCGTGAAGGAGGTACTCTACATTCATTGGACCGTCTACTATCCCCGTTATGACCCAATACACTGCGCGAAACCCTCGACGATATAATCCACTACACGACACCATCGACGATCCACTGTAGAGCCCCCTGCATATCGTTTGTTACCCATACACTCCATCTTATACCCCAATCTTCCGTTTACCTCACTGTCACTACCGCTTCATTTTCATCCCCGGACCTTCCCTTTCTGTACTCTTTTTCCGCTGTTTGTTCCGACCACCTGCATCGCTGTTCTGCATCTCACGTCCTACTGTATCATCTCGCATACCCCCTTTTTTTCACCAGTTGTTCCACACCTCTTCTCACCTTGGACTTGCATCTTACACGCCCCACATTCCCTGCACATCACGCACCTAACCTTTCCCCTTTTCCTCCCCTCTCCCCTCGTCCTCTTCGCCGCGAACGCTTACCCCACTGGACAGTGCCGAGCCGTCTTCTGGACTTTACCCGTAAATACCTACGCGGAGGAGAAGTGAGGCCTCTCCCGTGTGAGCGGGAGGGTGACCTGGCTTCAATGACACTATGTTTGTATGTAATATACTCTTACGTTGTGTGTGGCTATTGTTCGTGCCTCAGATCGCGCTGTGGCCGTGGGTCACACAAGGTCTCAGATCTGTCCGCTGCCAGTACAAGATATAAGCATCGACTGCTCGATCGACTCGCCGCCGCCGGGTTCCTCTGCCCCCAGGCCGCGCGACGATTGTTGTTCCTTATGGGCGAACCGTAGCCTCGCGGCGCCGTTCAGCGCTCGCACACCGTACCCCGGAGAAGCACGATAGGTGACGTTGCGCGCGCGGTGGTGTGCACACAGGTCGTCCATCATCTCAAGAGTCAATATCCCCCCCCTCTCCCGCGCTGCCGACAGCACAGATCGGGCCCCCGCACGCTGGGGCCTAGAAGTCAGGAATCGCCCGGCTGAGGACTCTCCGCGCTGCCGCGTACGTGGATACCACAAGGGCCCACGCGTGGCGCGGCCGATGTGCTAGATCTTCCGTCGCGGAGCGCTCGCATCAGGAAAAACCCAAATCCCTATTGAGAGGTAATGTATTGGTAAGCCGATATACGCCAAAATACTGCAGCTGTTTCAACTCACCGCAGTTTACAGACGCTTTGTCAAACTATCGCCTTCCTTCCGATCGCTTATGGGGTGGATGATGTATAATTTGACGTGCTTGAGTAGATGTATTGGATATCTGTATATGCAGTTAGCCAATAACGATACACTCGACTGGATCCTGACAGCTAGTAGCGATGGTGTATGAGTTCCCTCGCTGTTCACACATCAGCGCTCAGCAAGCATAGATGGAATTTACAGAAAACTGTCATTGCTTTATGATCTAAGTACTAAGACAGTGTACAGATACCCGAACCTACGATACTGGTTTTTCGGCAGAGGCTCTACAATATGCAAAGAGAACGTACCTGGATGTGCACCCAATCCCGGCATCCCGTCGCCTAACTCTCCACGCACATGCTGCTTGCCTTTTGCGACGAACACGATTGCGGGCGGGGCGCGGTGGCCCGTGGGTAATGAGGCGGGGAAGTTGCAGCCCGACGAGTAGACCTGCTGATGCGGGTTCGGGGCGTAGCTCAGCGAGTCGAGCCGTGCAGTGATCGCGGCGTTGCTTGCGGAGTGCGTGTGGGGCGCGTGTGCGTAGCCCGAGTTGAAGACGACGTGGACATTGGACTATGATGCGTTCGAGCGTGTCGACGTGTTGCCCTTCGGCGCGGGCTGGGAGGAGGGCGAAGAGGGCGGCAAACCAAGGTGGCAGGTGCGCGGCGGACTTGATGAGGAAGGTGATCATGAGCGGGCCCGCGACAAACGCTCCGGGACTTTGTGTCGTCAGGGATAAGGTACCGCGCCTGGGGTGAGCTGGGTGTAAGGTGTTGACCGTGGTGCCATGGCTGACGATTGGGTCGAGACAGAAGCACCCGTCGCGCTCGCCACACATGAGTTGATGACCACGTCGCGCCTGATCTTCACGCCCAGCATCCGGTATTAGATAACCTCGGGGAACGTGGACGTCGTAACCAAACGGCGTCGATGGAGCATGCAGGCCACGTGCTAGACGCGGGGGATGTGGACTCCGACAGACGATGGTGTGAGCTGGCAAAGAGGAGCTCGGGCTGTACGGCGGCGCACCCGCGTGCCTAGGAACGGGACGAGGAATGGGCTTCGGCGGCGAAGTAGCTCCGTTTTGTTAGTGGATGTGGATGTTGGCGCGGACGCGGTGTTGTAGGGGGTGACATGAATTATGGCACGGATAATGGGAGGATGTACGAAGAGACGACAGCCATGGGGAGGCGGAAGGAACGAAGCTAGGAGAGTGATGGCAGTCACAGTCGAAGTGCGGAATATTTAGCGCACGGACTACACGCGCGCTTCTCGTTCTCGAGTGTATCACAGACTCAGTTGAGTCAGTAGCGCCCATGGCAACGCGCGCGGCGCGACGCGCGTCCCCACATGTGCCAGCCTCCTCCACCACCTCCACCTTGTCAAACTCCCCATCTCCTAGCGGCGTTGTTGTTCTCCGCCGCGCACTTCTCAGACCTCCATCCTGCCACCTCACCGGCCATGCCCCAGATCACGTATTTCTTCGCCGCCGCGCGCTGCCGTGGATTCGTCTGGGTTGCGTACGACGTCGACCACGACCACGACAACCTATGAGACGTCAACGACGATGAGACTCGACCGGCTCCTCCCTCAGCTTTTACGGTCCCAATACGTGGACGTCCCTTTGCAACTCAACCCCACCGTCGAGGGCCCATGGTCACTCCTCATCTCTCCGCGGTGACACCGCACGTGAGTCCAGCACATTTGACATCCGGGTTCCGGGTGCACGATCTCACGAACAGGTCGACAACACACATCTACACGGAGCCCAAGATCCCCGATGCTGTCAGCCTGTGCAACTTTGGCATCCAGGTGGTGAGTGTCTCACTCTTATGATCGCATGGACTCGCGGTGCGGGCGAGAGGAGTGACACCAACAACTGGTCGTACTCCTTGAGCCACTTCTCTGCCAGATCGGTCTCGCTTGCGCTATCGTCGACGCCTACCTCCTCGCTCGAGGTTAACACGTCTTGAGCGCGGCGGTTCACCACCTCCCATCCTCCACGTCAGAATCCGCGAGTGCCCCCGCCGCGATTTCCCGCCCGTGCCCCTGCTCACCCGCTGCTCTTCTAGGAACTACATTGTCTCTGTCGGCGAGTGCGCACTTGTACCACCGCGGCGTTTGGAGGGCGCAGCCAGCAGCGCGTGTCCACTTTCGTCTGGCGGCCATTTCGTGCCCACACGGGCAAGACTTGCTCTGGATCGAAGAGCGCAAGGGACGGATCAAGGTGCGACGGTTACGGTGCATCCTTTTGTCGGCTTCCGTCATGATCGAGGATGACGAAGAACACGAGCCGGACGATGCGCACTCGTGTGCGGCGAGCCCGACGATCCTGGACATGGACATCTGTCGCCGGTGAGGTAGCGTACTTTCCTCCTTCCGTTCTCCTTTACTGACCCGTTTTTCCCCGGGCGTGCTCTGAGCCCTCCCTCATCCTTTCCTCCTCCTTCGCTGCCTCGCCTCGGCTTTTCTCTCATCTTCTTTCCTCGCCCGTCGTCCCCCCGCGCTCATGCGCACACAATCAGACCCCCGCGCGATACACGTGGGACTGGCGCGCGTACGCGCTCCCTGGTCGTGTCCGCCCCGGAACAGCCTCCTGGTCGTCGTCCAGGTCCCTCCAGCTTGCGGCTGCAGCATGAGTGCCAGCGTCTCGCGCGTACGTCGTCGGCGGGTGCACGGTCGTTGGTACCTGGCGGCATGCGACCGTGAGCAGGCCCAAGGTCCCGCTAGTCGAGGGCATCTTCGTCGTCTCTCGCGGCGATGGCGGGCGTGAGTGCTCGTCTGTGGCTCCCGGCGCAAGCCGCGTGCATATCGCATTCGCGCGCGCGTCCAACTGGTAATCCCTCGCGACGGAGCTCTCAGCAACTGCTGTGCGCTTTTTCGCAGGTCTAGCAGGCCCCGATACCGTTTACACCGCGTCGTCATTGCTCGTTGATAGGTACATCTATGTCGCTGTTGCTAAATACTGGTCTCGTCTGCATCTCAGATATCCAATCAATGTTCATTTTTGCCCCATATGTTATGTGTGATGAGTGCTACTGCTCGATATCCAGTGCTTGAAGCTGTGATTTACGGGCATGAATGAGACTAAGTGCATCTGGTGAGGGCCTGCTCTCGCAACTAAATTTTCCTTCTCCGTGTAATGGTTTCTCATTAGCAGAGGGGTAAGCGAAAAACAATACTTGTGCATAACACCATAATCGAGCTCATTATCCCTCACAAGCCTCAGTAACATCTCATTATGGATTTGGGTTTTTCCTGATGCGCGTGGCTCGGTCCTCGCGGGACACGGACCTGATGGACGGTACGCCCGTGCAGCCCCACCGCGAGGATCATGCATTAATTGTCCCTGGTCCACGCGATCGCAGCGCGGGGCGCAGGTGTACTTTCCGCTCGCGCCGGACGCTGTTCCGCGTTCCACGCAGTCGCGCGTGCGAGACTGGCTAAGATCGGCGATACAATAGCCATTTCAGTATTGCATGCGCTCTAAGATAGTGGCTGCTACGTCCTGCGCTGCCCCCAGGTCCCGATTTCTGCACTCCCCGCAGCCGCGGCGCGGGCTGCGTTCGCTGAGTTATGTCGTGACCCCACCGGCAGTACTTGGGGGGCGTGGGATAGTGACATCACAGGATATGGCCATGCTCGCGTGCGCGTGGTGATCGATATCCCTCATCGCAACCACTGCGATCTCCGTAACCTACCATGCTGAACCCCTCCGACCACCCGCTACTCAAATACGACATCCTCGTCGAGGTCTTCAGCAACATCGAGATTTCAGGCCAAGACGGGTGGCCTTATTACTGGGGCGCCGACGCTTACTCTGGAGTCAAGGGCGAAGGGTCGACGACGTTGGCCAGGGCCGCACGAGTATGCAAAGCGTTTTCTAATCCCGCTCTGGACGAACTATGGGCCGCGCCTTGTGGTGGATTGTACACACTCCTCCACCTTCTCTCAGCACTACGGGTCACACCAAAGCAGGAATACGCGTTCTCCAGAAGAGGGGCCCGAACCAAGTACGAGTTCAGGACCTATGTAAGAACTCTGCGTGTCTTTATTTCTCCAAGGAGATTTGACGTGCTCTTTCGCCCCCAGGAGCTTGACGATCATGTCGATCTACAAGAATGGGAGCGCATGCTATCATATGCATCTCGCATCCGCAGATTCGGGTTCTTCACATCTTCTGGACCTAGTGCCTGGTTGACGTATAAAATCACTCCGGCCTCTTTCGAGGTACTTCACAGGCGAGCAGAAGGCCACACCCTCTTTCCCAACCTGCAAGTTCTGTGTTGCCAGCTTGGAAGCTCGCGACCTTCTCCTGATGACCCCTACGACTTCCTCCTCCGCATCGCGGTCTCTCCCACCCTTGCCAATGTCACATTCAGGCATCCTCACCATGGGGTGTGCTGGGGAGACCCTGTGCGTATCGATCAGTCCGGAGCTCCTTCCGATATCACTACCATCGTGTCGCGATGTCCTTCAATACGTCGGTTCGTAGCGGATCTCCAGTATACGACCAAGGATCTCTATCCCCTTTCCCAGTGCCGTACACTGCAGTCCATTTGCATAAACAAGGGGGAAGTTGGAATCGTTATATTGATGCAACTTAGCTCACTTCCCGGACTCGAGCTCCTCCAAGTAAGCCTCCTGGACGCCGGCGAGGAAGAAGACCGCCAGACGGACATCTCCCTCGATGTCGATCAAGACATATTCCCCTCTCTCCGGGAGCTCATCATAGGACGTTGTGGGGCGGTGATAATCGGACGAGCACTAGCCCTGCTCAGTACCTCGCCCTCCTGCCCGCTCGCGTCCCTCCGCCTCGACGCGTCGTACGGCTCAGATCTCGAGCCTGTCAACGTCATACAACATCTCGCATCGCCATCCATCAGCCGCTCTCTCCGGACCCTCTGCCTGCTCTTCTCGTTCCACAGCACGAGTTGGAGATGGGCACGCACCGCCAGACTCGAGCTGTTCCCGGCCTGCGCCATGCTCGAGCCCCTGCTTTCTCTCGGCGCGCTCGAGGACCTCGAAGTACATGCGCGCGAGCGGCGCTTCTCCCTCGCTGACGCGGATCTCGTGCGCTGCGCGCGCGCGTGGCCGCGCCTCCGCCGCCTCGTCATCCCGTACGATGGCAACGAGCACGATGCGGACGACGCACACCCCTCGCTCCTCGCCGCGGCCGACCTCGCGATGGCATGCGCGCGCCTGGAGGTGCTCGCGCTCGCGCTCGCGGACGTCACGGAGGCGGACGCGCGCGCGCTGGAGGCGCGGGCCGCGGAGGGGGAGGGTACCGCTCGCGCGGCGGGGTGCGGCGGGCAGGACGCGCTCGTGCAGCTCGTGCCGGCGTGGGGGTGCGGGACGCGCCGCGAGCGGATGCGGGTATGCGGGACGGAGCGGGTGTGTGGGGCGCTGCTGCGGATGTTCCCAACCTCGAAGGGAGCGGGATCCTGGAGGACGGGGAGCGGCGGGCGGTCGCGGGGAGGACGAGCTGGTGGGTGGGGAGGCCAGAGGAGATAGCGCCGGACGCGTTCATGCTGTGTCTCGACAGGCTCCAGGCGGAGAGGCGGAGGATTCGACGCGAGTTCGACGAGGGGAGGTACTACTAGCCTGTATGCGAGATTGCAGAGTGTACTTGCTTAGTACCCTTCACACCCCACGCACTCCTCACACTCACTCCTCTCCACCCCCCTTCACTCCGAAGCCTTTGATCTCAACCGTTTCACTCCATCGTCCAGCGCCGAATGGACTCTACACATGCCTATGCTGAGGAGAAGTTAGACCTGTCCCTCTTGAGCAGGAAGGCGGCCTCGCTTCAATGAAACTGTGTCGGACCTCCCCATGCATTGCACGTATGCACTGCTTTCCTCTTTTTTTCTTCAGATAAAGCTGTGGTCGCGGGACCCATAAGGTCTCAGAATCGTCCACCGAGGGTAGCGGCGGCGCAGAATACAAGATCTGAGCGCCAGATGGATGAACCCACTCAGCGCACCTCTTGGTTGTGCCTGTGGCCACATCAATCCCTTATTCTCATCGCTCCTCGCCGGCGGACCGTAGCCACGCGGCGGCGCCCAGCCCACGCACACCATATCCCGGGGCGGAGAAGCGCGACAGGTGACGGAGTCGCGCGCGTGGGTGTGGGTGCGCACACAGTTTCGTCCAGCCCGAACTCCGTCGTCGACGTGCTCAATCGATCCGCGTTTTCGCCAATCTCAATCTCAGACCTCGCCCGCTCATGCCCACCACACTGATCGGGAACTTCACCTCGAGCCCGCGAGCTGCTAGAAGCACGGATCGGGCCCGCGCTTCAGTCTGGAAGGCTGGTATTTCCCACCTCGCCGCGCTCCCGCGCGCGGGTCGCGGGCATCCAGCCGCCCTCCATTCTCCGTCACTCTCAGTCCCGGCGGTACGGTGCACCACAGGGACCCAGGGTGCGGGGCCGCGGCGTTCATATTCCGGATGCGGTCCCTCCGCGGGGATCGTGCATTGTTCCCGGCGCTCCGCTGTGAACCTTCCGTGAGCGTACGGTTATTAAGTATGTAGCCTTTTGACTACCGAGCCGGCGCGTGCCTGGTCCGCCCACGTCGGCCACAGTAGGCTCCGCGTCGCACGGAGTCGCGCGGGCGGAACGAGCGTTATCACTCATGCGCAGCCACGTATGACGCGCGGGGGCCATGCAGATGATCGACACTCCCCGGCTCTCGATATCTACCCCCGGGGCCCCGCGATCTTCATCTCATTATAGTCCCGGGTATCGCGCATGGTGCCCACCACATGAAGGTTTCCTAGATATCCTGGCAACTAGTAGTGACTACAAGTGATCTGCTCTCGGCTGGGTGGTCGCGAGCTCGAGAGCGCGAGTGGGGCCTCGGCAGGATTTTTGGCATCCACTGCTCGCCCGTTCCATCACGGGGTCGATACCGAGTATTCCCCGCGCGTCAGGCACTGTGTTTTTTGAGACCAGCGCGATGCAGGAAGTTCGCGTGGCCCCGCTCGATCCCCGCTTGTGTCCGTGCGTCCCTCGGAGACGTCGGGGTCAGCGACGCCAGTTTCTCAGACGCGACGTCCGGGCTTGTTTCTCGCTCCGGGGCTCAGGTTCATGCCTTGTCCATCCACCTAGTCTCCATGTGCTCGAGGATTCTCCCACCAAGGGCACAAGAAGCGGTCGCCGACCGCCGTCCACAACAGACCCGCTCACCGGGCGGGTGCGGACGCAGGCGCACGATCCGGCCGCAAGGAACACAAGCGCTCCCACTGAGCGCCTCACATACTCATCCTGTTCCTTCGGCGCTCGGGCCAGCTGGCCCGAAATTGGCCGCGTGGACGAAGCAGCGCACGTGGATGTCGATGAAGGGCCGCGGCTCATCGATGGGCATGCGCGGCAGACCCTTCGACGCCGCCCAACTGGGGCCGGCCATCGCGGCTGAGGATGCCAGAGCCGCCTCTGCCTCCCCCGCCACCGTATCCTACCCTCTCAACACCGTCTCCTGCCCTCCCGTCACCGCCCTCCGCGCTTCCACCGTTCCACCGTCCACGCCGCCAGCCGTTATCGCGCGATCGCACTCGGAACGTTTGACCGCGCCGGCCGCAGACGCTTCGACGCTGCCTTACCAGCGCCGGTCGTCGCGACTGAGAGTGCCAGAGTTGCCTCTGTCTCTTCCAACACCGTCTCCTGCCCTCTCGACACCGTATCATACCCTCTCAACACCGTCTCCTGCCCTCTCGTCACCGCCCTCCGCTCTTCCACTGTTCTACCCGTCCAGTCCTCCGGCGCCAACCGTTATCGCGCGATCACCCCTTCTTCTCCCGAGTCCCACCGTCCTCGGGACTGCCACCATCGCTTCACCGTGCTCCGCCATCGCCTACCTGCAGGCCTCCGCCGCCTCCTTCCCGGCTGCCGTCGGGCGCCACGCCGCCCTCCGCCCGCCACGACTGTCGGCGCCGATCCTCCTCCGCCCGCGCGCGTCCTCGCCCCTTCCAGAGATGCTCCCTTCGTCCAGGCTCTTGCCCCCACGCCGCCCTACGCCTCGTCTGCGACGAGCTGAAGATGTCCGCCGCCGCCGACTCGCGCGCGCTCAAGCCCGAGGCCCCGGCGCTCATTTCCCCCACTGCCAGTCACCACCGCGCCCGTGCCTCCGCGCGCGATCCCAATCCCCGCAGCGACGTCGACCCCGACAAGTGCCACTCCCCGCAGCGGGTCTCACACTCCCCCCCCCGCCTAGCATACAGCCGTCATCCCACCATGGCCCGTCATCCCACCGTCCTTCACGGCCACCGCATCCAGCCCCCTACATTGCGCCCGCGCACGCCCTCGCCACTGTCCCGTCCACTCCCATCGTGCCCTTCCTTTCCTCATGTAACCTCCGTCAAGACATCCTCGCACATATCCAGCATGATCGCGGTGCCGCCTTCGGGGTTCCGCTCACGCATTGCGCGGTCGCGTTCGACCTCAGCACCGACGGCGGTTAGTCGCGGTCTGCACGGCGTCTGATGCTGGGACGACCCTCACCACCGTGGACATCCTCCGCGCTCGCATCGCCAGCATAATGAGGATCCCCGTTACTTGGCTCATTGATCGCGGTCCATATGGAGTACGTTCAAGCAGGTCACTTACGCGCATCTGGAGAAGAACCGGTCGTACGTACTTCCACCTACGGATTGAAGGAGACCACCGTTCCGGGGGATTCCGTGCTGGGCGACGACTGCAGGTGCTATGGCATTGTATGTGGTGGGTCACCGTGGCGTTCATACCTTGTTCTCCGAGATTGTAATGTGCTCTGGCCGCGGGCCCACATGGCCTTATGTGCGTCCACCAGGTGGCGGAGGTGGTAGAATACTTTGCGAGAGCCCATTCAACTCTTATCGTCCTCCTGCACAGAACCCGCACTTGGTGACCAGGCCAATCGCTGGGAGGGTCCGCCTCACCGCGCGCGCACGGCCGATGCAATCGCGCCACCATTGCTCTCCATTCCCCGCGCGCTTCGGCCATACTTGGACGACAGGGACCCCTAGGCGGCCACTGCGTGGCGCGCGGTGGGTACGGAGGAGGAGGAGAGGCGCGGGTCCGCTGGCGGTTCGCCCGCTGCACACGCGGCATGGATGGTGCATTGCTCCCGCCTAGGCCTTCCGCTAGGGTTTTTACGTTGCAACCGCGTGGGTGAGTCGTCCGCGCGCGCCGGACGCGGCTCCGCCTTTCGCGGAGGTGCGCGAGCGTGTAGTCGCGGACGACGTCGAGGGAACGGGTGTCGAGTGCGGAGGTACTTATCTCGAGGTGTTCCACGGCTCAACGTCTACGGGCACCCCTGCGCGCGCAATGCGTTACACTCAGAGTCCATCGTGCCGCCGCGACCACTGATCTGGGTGCACTCCGCGGATGTTGTGTAGGCGTACAAGAGTCGCAGTCGGCTCGCGCAGGAAAAAGCTGGTCGTTCGTTCTTCGCGCAGTTCGAGCCGTCGTCGTGCGCGACTTCGTCATCGCGCAGAGGATCCGATCTGCTCGCCCTGAAGATCCGGATCCGGAGCCCGCCGTGCGGCGGCCCCGGCGCCAAATATGGCCGCCTCTTTCTGCGTTGCAACCGTTGCCCCTCCTCCTCCTCCACCCACCTTGCCCCAGCCACGAGTGGCTCGCCTCTTTTCCGCGCTACGAGCCGCCGACGCGCAATACTCCCGGTTCAGTCTGCAGTGCTCCCGTCCTCTCTGTGCTCGCGGGGCTTCTTGGGCAGTGCAGCAAGTTCCCCACGTGTGGATCCCGAGCTTCTTCTCTGGCAGCGCTCGTCGACAGGACCTGAGCACGATCACACGTCCGATGCAGCCACTGGTGGAATCTGGAGCGGGAGTGTGAGCGGAAAGGGGGGAAGTGCGGTGAGTCGTGATGAACGTTGGTATCAGAACGACGTTTTTTCTCAGCGGTCCACTTGCGCAGCAGCAACGCCCTCCCGCGACGGGACAGGCACCGACGGCATTGGTTCGAAGCTGTTTGCGGCGCTAGCCACGCGCAAACTCTCCTGAGCTGCAGCAGGTGCGTGTTTCTTCGGATTCGATCACGTCCCTAGTTCCCCGCGTCTTCGCTGCGCAGTGCGCTAGTGCCTAGCCTGTGGAGGAGCCGCCTCGGAGCTCGTTGTCGCCGTCGGACAACTGTGCTCCGCACTCGAAGGCGCCGCTCAAATGTTCGGCGTTCGACGCTGGAGCGCCTCGGGTACTACCCCCGCCGTCGACCCGGTACCGTCACTGTTCTACCACGATTGGGTATGGTCTACGGCGTTGTGGGGTGCCTGCGTTCGGGCGTGTTGTCGTCCAGGGAAGATGAGGAGACAGCATCATCCTGCTCTCAAGACGGTTTGTGCTCTTGCGCGCGCGAAGACGTTCCAGGCTGCATGTCTCGAAGATCTTGGACCGCTTTGTGGTCTAGCCCTGACCGCGCTCTGGATTATATGCAGGTTCAAGAGCGTAATTACGAGAGTCGCGGAGGCAGCGATGCTGAATCTGTCGGAAGCTTCAGCTGAAGGTACGCCCTCTCCGAAGCACGAAAGTGAGTGCATTCATCCGTGCCATCACTCTGCGTGGTCGAAGGCGCCTCCAGAACGTCGGCTTTGATGATTATACATGCTATGAGTGGTCAGGACCTAGCTAGGACGTGGTTGGACGCCCGTTTTGTCCTCTCCTCAAAATGGCATGTTGGTCAACTCAAATAACGAATGATCAATCCACCGCCTTCTGAAGCAGACATGTCCTGTCTTAGACCTGTCACCCGTCGACCACAATCTGCCAAGGCGGGACGGGATTTCGAGAAGAATCTCCATTGTCCCAGCACACAAACGCGTCATGCATACGCTCTTGTCAGCCTCGCCGACACTGGACGCCCATCCATAACGCGAGGGCCGGTCAGACCGCTCCCGATCACTGTCGCTTAGCTTCGGGTATCTTCGGAGTCTGAAAAATGAGTCTGGAGAGGGGGTGCGACCCCCTCTCCAGCCATAGCCGAGCTCGGCTAAACAGTCGGAGTTCAGATCCCATCGCGTCCAGTGTGATCGAGCGGGAATCCGAGCGACCTAGCGTTACGGATAGGCGTCCACTTGAACTATGCATGGCTGAGTTTTTGGGTTCATGGTGCATCGCTATCACACAGCCGGACACCGGTGCACTGCTGTTAGTCCCTCGGCCCACTCTGTGGCCGCGCAAGGCATATTTTGACTAGTGCATGTGAGTGGACTGATGTAGGATAGCGAGACTCGCGGGACACTGTCGTGCTCCTGCCGTTCCGAACGCGCGCCACGGAGCGATTTGGAGCTTTTGTTTCTGGCCCCATTGTCCTGTGGAGAATGACATGCGCTGACCCAGATCTGCTCCCGTTACAGCTGCTTAAGCTTCTGGTCTTCCACATTCCCGCTTGCGTTCATCTCCAGCACGGACATATTTGGAACCGGGTCCTCCCGAGAACAGGCGCCTGCCCAGCGCACTCCGGCTGCGTAGCCCCCACCCCTGCTGGAGACCTATCCCGGAAGACCTACGCTCCTGCCAGTCACTGGAATCACTGCATACACGTCCAGCTCACATTATAGTGTGGTTCGACGCAGTCGTTCTTCTCTGACTCGTCAGCTTTTCGTGCATGTGGTATGCGCGCCCGCCGCCGTCCGAAAGAGGAATGTGACGGGGGTATGCCGTGCACTCGACCGTCATATCGAAAAAGGAAGGTAGCAGAGCCCCCGACAGTATAAGAGGGCGTGGCGGAACAGTAGAGTCATTCATCTACGATACCCCATTGCACGCTTCTCATCCTCTCATCATTGCCCGCTACTAGGACGCTAGTGCGCCATGTCCTACAACTCCCACCACCTCCCGCCCGGCGCGCGTCCGCTTGCGACGTCGCCGAATGCTGCGCCGCGGTCTGGCCGCACACGCTCGAGTAGCTATGTGCGCTTCTCTGACCAAGTCCCAGAGTACTACCCGCCGTTTCAGGGCACACAGGCTCCCCCCGCGATCGCCCAACAGACACTCCCTGCGGTCGCCCCGCCCGCTGAGCTACTCCCCCTCCGCCCGATCCCCCTCCCTGAAGTCACTCCCCTCCTTCGTCCCGTCGCGTTGTATCCTAGTGAGGGCTCACCACCGCGCGGTGCGCGCCGCGGGTCGCACGGCAGCGTTGCGCGCCCCATCAACCCGACTGCGCACAACGCAAACTATGACTCCAGCGCGCCCACGTCGGACGACGCCACTGCCCGCGGTCAGAGCCATGGCTCTGTGCCCGCCCGCGATCAAGAAGGCCATGTCGCTGCACCACGGCCGCGCGCCTTACCCCGCATCCCCGCCGCCGATTCCGCCTCCTCGGTCGCCCCCGCGCGCCGACAGGACGCCGGCGCTCATCCCCCCGCTGACGCCGACCTCGGAGCCGCGCTCGCTGGCCTTGACATCACCGACTCCCACGTCTCCCGCACGCCCCCTCGCTCGCGCCTTCCGCCGCCCATCCCGCCGGCGGAGACTCGCCCCGACGCACACACGCGCATGACCACCCCACCGAAGGCCGAGCGCGGGGGCTCGCCGGCCAGCGGGCACAGCGGGCACCGCTCCTCCGGATCCGCAGACTCGTTCCTCTTCGTCAAGCCGCAGAGGCTCTCCTCCGGGACGCCGCCGTCGTCCCCCGAAGCCCCCGCGAAGGACGACGGGAAGCCCGCGCTCGCGGACGTCCTGCGCGACTTCCAGACCTACGCCGCGTGGGACCTCCGCGCGGCCGACGCGCCCCCCAAGTCCGGACGGCACCTCGACGGGCGCGCGTTCACCGGCGGCGGACGCGCGGAGCTCAGGCTCCGGTTCAACCCCCGGTGGACGCTGGCGACGCGGAGCGCGGACGAGGAGGGCGGGACCGCGTTCTCGTGCACCGCGCGGCGCGGGGACGGCGCGCCGCTCGCCGTGCGGGACGTGCTCGCCGCAATCGGCCGGAAGATGTACGAGGACACGCGGTGGCTCGCCGCGGACGAGCCCACGGGGAGCTGGCGCTACGAGCGCGCGGTCGAGGAGCGGCCGTCCCGGTTGGGCGGGAGGGAGGATGGGCGGAGACAGAAGATGGTCAATGTGGACTGGTACGCGCGGGGCGAGGCTGCGCTCCTCGGGCTGACGACGACGGGCAAGGCGGGGGAGGTGCTCGTCATCCTGGGGAGGCCGTCGCCGGATTGAGGTATGTGGGTCCGGGGTCTCGATCTGTGTCCGGAGGCTTATTTGCTTTCCGTTCCGTTTAGGGATGTGTCGGACGGGCCAGCCTCGGCTTGGCTGCTCTTATGACTCGGATTTCTGCCTTCTTTGACGACTCGACACGACCGCCCGTCACGCTCATTGTATACCCGCTCCGTTGTATCGTAGTCTCGGAGACCCCATCCCGGTGCCGTCTGTTTAATGCCGTGCAGTGCTCACTGTGCTACACCCTTAGAGTATTCTTACCATCTACCGACAAGCAAGTACTCTACACACCGTATTGTAGAGACTCGAGCTCCCAGTACTGCTAGCTGCGCGTGCTCCTTGGATTGTATCTCCCTATTGCCCAGATCCCCCATCCCCTCTTCCTTACGGACCGATTGTGTTGTTTTTATCACCCCCGTATGCAGATACCGGTATCGTTGTATGTACCAGTAGGAAAGCCGAATGTTAGAGATATCGCGCGTCATATAATCGGGGAGCGCAGGTTCTATATGCCGACTTTCCCTGTTTCGCGGTCTTTTTCGACATCTTTTTGTGCATTTCCATGGTTAGTAGCACGGACCTTGTCTCCGCTTGTTGTTCTGCGTTCTTGTGCATCGACCCCCGTCCCCTCCACAAACTGTGACAAAAACGGAAATCTAAGCGCTGAAAGGCATCGCGCGCGCCGCGCTGGCGTTAGTTCTGGATGGTGACTTGCCTCCTTACCACCATGACGCGATCCTTCATCCTCGTGTGATACTCCAGCTTCACATCTGTATGTGGCCGGCGCTTCTGACTAGCCCTTCCAAGAAGTGTTTGGGAGTACCACGCGTTCTGCTAGGTGCGTACATGTGCACATTGACTGTCCTGCCGGTGCGCATTTTCATTCCGACTCTCTTCATTCTTCCATATGCGCGCGTGCAGGGAATAAGGATAGAAACAAACCACAAACACGCCTGTTCCACATGTTCACCAACCTCGCGACGACCGGAGGCTAGAAGCCGCCGATCACCTTAATGCCGCCCAGCGTGCGCAGGCAGCGGCGCCCGACTTCTTCTCCGCTCTCCGTGAGACCTTCTTGGTATAACAAGGGCCCACATACGCCCCACAGCGTCCCGACGGTCGTACCGCGCTCCGTCGATATGCATTGCTGCGCGCCCGGAGCTCGGAACCCGGAGTCCGGACCAGCGCGGCCGGACATGCGCTGGCCTCGCAGTCCCGAAGGTTCAGACTGCGAAGGTTCAAAAGTTCAAGGTAAAGCTTCAAGCTTCAAGTTCAAGGTTAGGTCTCTCCGTGTCCCGCGGGAATGGCGCTGACACGTGGACAGGGCCGACTGAGAAAGGCGTTCGAAGGGGGATGCAAGTGGGGCTGGTGGGTGCGCGCGACGTTTTTGGTGAGTAATATGAAGCTCCCCTTGGGCTGCACGAATGAAGCTGAGTCCGTTCGTGTGAAGGCGCCCCATACCCGCACACGCTGGCTGCTCCGTCTTGGCGAACGACTCGCAGGCTACGGATCTGGGATACGTGCCCTCTTCAGTACGTCAGCATAATCCCGCACTTTGATATCTCCTAACCGAAATTTTCAAACCTACATGCTTCCGCCTGGCGATCATTACAACAGTTTGAACTCTCCTGCCTTCTTCGACGGCTATAATCATAGAAATCAGAGTTCCTCGACGATCCCGACCCCAGTGCACATCGGCGACTTCTGGCAGCCCGACAACCACGCCGCGTTCGTGCGGCGCCCAGGGACGCCCGCCGTCCCCCACCGGAACGTTGCGCAGCTCGTTCCTTGAGCCTGGTCTCGGCCCCCGCCGTCACATGTGCGCCCATCGCTCTGAAAGGAGCCCCGATGCCACCCTAACTATAGTACAGTGCATTTCAGGAGGAAACCAAGATTTCATTTTGTGTGCTCGCCCACCGCTGATCCTTGCTCTCGACGTCAAAGTGAGCATGGCTTTGCCCGCTCCAAAAATCCACGTTTCCGCCTCGAAGGCGATCACGCCTACACGGCTCGTCTTTGCGCGTTCCACTGTCGCTGGTTTGCCGTCGTGACCTGCGAAGTCTGCGCTTCCTCACACCCGCATGTTGGCGTAGAGGTACGGACGTAACTCAAATACATGACATACACGTGTCATGGCGCCGTATATCCGTGCCGTTCAAGCACTTTGCAGCACTAGCTCTTTTGGGGACCTCGAGGTGAGCTTCTGGGCTGTAGTTCTGCAACGGGACTGATTGAAGGCGTGTAGTTCATTGGCGCGGACGCGTGACCTAAGCTTCGACGGCATACTTATGACGGCGCCCGCGCCGGACATATACCTCTGGCAGATAGGCGCGTTTGGTCGCTACTCCTGTGACCTCCGGCTGGTGCGGGAACGTCGAATGGTGTGGCCTTTTCCGTCACCTAGACGTATATGTAATCTAGGCGCCATGAAAATTAAGGCCGGGCCCACCGTAGTGCTGACGATGCTGCAGAACACGCTCCAGGTCCAATTCATCGAGGCAGCGTCCCGGCGCTCCCGAGATCTCGGCGTGGATGTATCATGTGGGTCGTATCGATACCGCAAGAGCTGAGCCCCCGATCAAGATGGCTCAACAAAGTTCACACCCTGGATGAGATGCGCGCTGAACTGTAATGTGATTTCTCCCGGATCCAACGGCTTCACCGTCCGCAATGTCCGATCGAGTTCACACCACTACGTACCAGGCGCCACCTCGATAGACTTTGATACAGTAATACGCGGACATACCCCTCCGTAAGTCCGAATTTCTCGAAGGACGCATTCTTTGCTCACATCCGGGCGCTTTCCTCGCCCATATTAAAGCACATAAAGAGGATCTACTGTCCACAGAGCGCACCATCATAGAAGCGCATCCCCAGCACCTCTCTGTGGCGATCTGTCCCGAGCATCTCCACCGGGCCCGACATACCATCGTCCTTTTACCCTGCCTTATCTCGATCCCATACCGACCCTAATCACAGACGATATTCCCTACGGACCCGTTCCATTTGTACCAGCCGCTCGATCCCCCGATCACTATGGGTCTCCACCGCAGCGCCCGCAGCGCCCCACCCTTCCAAAGCGACCTACCGCTTCCTGCACTCCCGGAGATCTCAAGGAATGTGAGCGACCCTGGCGGCGGGGACGCCGTGAATATCCACGAGACCAGTGCGCGTGGCGCCCTAGTAGACCGCCACCACCCCCCCAGCCGCTCAAACGCTCTTGGACTGGTGCTCTATCCCACAGCCTCTCCAGGAACCCCGGTCAGCTCGTCAGACATGCACACCCGACGCACAGCCGGACTTGGCGGTGGCGTCCGAGTCTCCCCCGCCAGCTGGGCTTTCCCCCACCACGAGCCTTCCGCACCGGAGCACATGATCCCACACCCTATCCGCCACGCTCTGGTCCAGGTCCAGGCGTTCATCGCCTCCCTCGCGCCGCGCACTTTAGATCCGATATCGCCGCTATCTTCCTCCCCTTCCCATTGACATGGGACCTCCGCGCGTCGACCTGGCCCGGGCCCTACGGCATCCCTTTCGACGTGCCTGCGTTCACGTCAGGGCGACAGACGTGCCGCCTGATCTTCTGCCCTACCGCGGACACGACGGACCTTATCGCCGTCGAGTGCGTTTCCCGGGATGCAGGGCCGCTCACAGTGGGGGACGTCGTGAACACGGTGTCGCAGACTCTGTATGCGCCTGGGCTGCCGGTGCCCTTGGACCGCGTACGGCGGGAGCGGGCGGCGCGCAGACGGGCGGAGAGGTTTCATGGAGCGGCGGACGAGGCGCTGAACGTGGTGCGGCTCATCGATTTGTACCCGGACGGGTTGTCGACGTTTCGAGGACTCAGACAGTGCGCAGATCAGGGCGTGGTGTTGGTAGATTTGGGAGCACGACAGTAGACGGGGTGAGGTGATAACATAGCCATGAAGTAGGCCACCCGTGTAGGATAAAATGTTCTCAGAAATCATTGCGAGCCTGCTATCTGTATGGCTTCGACACCTTTGGTTCGAGGCGAACGATCTGAATTGAGTCTAAGTACCTGTAGTTTCGCTTCATGAGCTTTAATTTGTAAAAGATGCAAGATCGCAGCGTTCAAGAGTCAAAGCGTCGAGTGATGATTTCATCTGGAGTGCTCGAGCTACTTATTGGCACACACGGCCGCCTGCGTGACCAGCACCGCGTCTGGTCACAAACACGTGATCCAGGGAACGTTTCAGGTGTGAAATTTGCTGACGCTGGCACCTTCCTCGAATTCGCCCTCTCACATCCACCTCGTCGTCGTCTTCCATTCATCGTCTCCCACCCATATGACACAATACCTGCTACTCCATGTTCCCGAATCACGGCCGCCGACGCCTTCCACGTTTCTCACGCACACCTCGCGCGTAAGTCTTCCGTTTCTTGGGAACTGGGGCATCGGGGCGTTCTCAAGCGTCCCATGAACTCATCTGGGCATTACCACACGGTTCAATTTCGTGAAGTAGATATTATGTGCAGCTTCAAGAAATGTGCGCGCATATAGCTAGCCTTGTAGCCTAAATAAGAAGTGGTATGTTTGGTCTTCGCGAATAAGCACGCAACCGCCACTGACGGCAGCCAACAGCATCGTTGAGCTTTCCCATGATGACACCATGTTATGGGAACTGCCAAGCTCGAGCTATTATTGCGGTCCACTGCTACATCCCGTTCAATAGCCACGCTCGTCGTTCGTTCGTCCTCCTACGGGGCCACGTATCCCACGAGTCTCTTCGCGTGTAGTTCAACCGAACCATGTGCTCGTTCAAGGCCGCCCATGCACTCATTTCTCCCAGTCATTCTCCCCTCGCTGTACGAGATTCCACTCAGTCTTCAGCTCACGGTCAAGCCGAAGGTGCCTCAATCGTGCGCAGTTTCTCCCACATCGCCGTCCACAAAAACTGATTTAGAGCGCCTTGTATCAGGGTACAAAAGGGACGACGATCGCCTCGCAAAGCCTCGCGAACGCGAAATACGCATTGAGCACTGACTAGATGAAGTCTTCTCTCCTCGCGCTTCTCCCCCTCTTCCTGTCCGCCTATGCGGTCCCGGCCGCTCCAGGTTGGAGCTTCGACCTGAAGAACGTCACTTCCGGAATCGTCGCACTTGAAGCTATCGTCGTCTCGCCGACCCTTGTCATCTGGTTCGACCGTGCCTCAAACGACCCCCTCCAGATCAACGGCCATTCCGCCTGGGGAGCCTTGTACAACCTCGAGACTGAGACCGTCACCCCCCTCGATGTGCTTTCCAACTCGTTCTGTGCCAGCGGTGCGCTGCTCAGCAACGGATCCATGGTGTGTGCGCGTTTGGCCGCACCATACACGATACTAATCACCACTACAACGTCTAGGTCAGTCTGGGGGGAGACCCGGACGGTTTCGTAGGAAACCCTGGTATCCTGAACGGGACGCAGGCGCTCCGAATCTTCGAGCCCTGCGCATCGCCCACCGGAGAAGGCTGCACGCTGTTCGAAGATCCAGCGACGCTTCACCTCCTCGAGACCCGCTGGTATCCCTCCTCCGCCCGTATCTTCGACGGCAGTCTCCTAATTGTCGGAGGCATGCACGAGGACACGCCTTTCTTCAACACAGACCCCGCGCTCTCTTTCGAATTCTTCCCGCCCAAGGAGGACACACCCCGCCCGTCCGAGTTCTTGAAGCGCAGTCTCCCCGCGAACCTGTTCCCTCGGTGAGTGTCACTGGAGGAAATCGACCTTCACCGTTGCGCTGACTACGCGCGCTCTTAGCATCTTCGCTCTTCCCGACGGAAAGGTCTTCATGGTCGCTAACAATCAGTCCATCATTTACGATATCGAGGCCCAAACCGAGACCATCCTCCCGGACATCCCTAACAACGTTCGCGTCACGAACCCCATTGATGGCTCCGCAATCCTTCTCCCACTCTCTCCTCCCGACTACACCCCCGAGGTCCTCGTCTGCGGCGGCTCCGCCGTCGACCCCGACGGCATCCCCTCCACGGCACTCAACGCTCATATGCCCGCCACGTCGCAGTGCTCGCGCATCACGCTCACCAAGGAGGGCATAGCCGCCGGCTGGCAGGTCGAGCATATGCTCGAAAACCGCACTATGCCCGAGCTCGTCCATCTCCCGAACGGCCAGGTGCTCATCATCAACGGCGCCGGCACCGGCTTCGCAGCGATCGGGTCGGTCTCGGACCCCGTTGGCAACGCGAACGCCGACGACGCCGTGCTCGTGCCCTCGCTCTACACCCCGGACCTCCCCCTCGGCCATCGCATCTCGAACAAGGGCATGCCGAACTCGGGCATCGCGCGCGTCTACCACTCCTCCGTCACGCTTACCCCACAGGGCAACTTCCTCATCGCTGGCAGCAACCCGAACCCGAACACAACGTTGGCAGCGCCGGGCATCAAGTTCCCGAGCGAGTTCCGGATCCAGACCCTCGACCCGCCGTTCATGAATGTGGCGCGGCCGCGGATCCTGAGCATGCCCGAGAAGATCGGGTTCGGCAAGACTATCACCGTCCCGATCTCGGTGCCGGCCGCGCTCCGCCGCGCTGGGTCGAACATTCAAGGTGCGTCTTGTTGCTGGCTGATCGCGCGGATCACAGTGCACAGAGAGCTGACGAGAGCGTGGTAGTCTCGCTCATGGACCTGGGCTTCTCCAGCCACGCGTTCCACTCGAGCGCGCGCCTCGTCTTCATGGACGCGAAGATCGCGCCCAACGGCAAGTCACTCACCTTCGTCACGCCGCCCAACGGTCGCGTCTACCCTCCTGGTCCAGCGACCATCTTCCTGACCATCGACGACGTCACGAGCGAGGGCGCGTGGGTCATGGTTGGCAGCGGTAACTCCCCGCCGACGCTCGAGTAGAGGCTACGACGAGTGAGTGTAGTAGGGATTACGATTGAAAGCTAGTGTTACAGGTTCTTCTTCCCCGTGCGTGTTTCCAGCATCCTTCATCACTCGCACTCGTCGGTTTCGACGATGAAGACATCCTCCTGTGCAAACTCCCGCGGCGTCTCCCACTTCAGCGCCTTCCGGATCCCCATGAACATGCGATCCTTCCCCAAGTAATCAATCTTGATCGGCCTCCGCGATTGCGGATACTTGTAGCGTTTCAATCGCTCGTGCCTCGCCTTCTCCACCGCGCCCAAGTACTGCTTGATGTAGAGTTCCTCCTGGGTAGAGACCTCCTGCTGCAGCTTGACATACAGCGCGTCCATCAAGTCCCCGACGCCGACGCTCCGCCCGTCCGTCCTCCGCACGCGCACCGCGCACGCCGGCGCGTCGGGGAAGACGAGCACGAAGACCCTCAGATGGACGTCCGTCCTGTCCTGCAGCGCGATCGCGGCGCACTCCAGCCTCTCCGCGGGGATCCGCCCCCAGGTCTTGCGCACCCACGCCGCCGACGGCGGGTGCATCATGTCCCAGTGCAGTTTTCCCGGCCGGTTGGGGTGGTGGTGCGGGAACGCGAGCAGCGGATCGATGCGCACGGCCCTGTCCTTGCACAGCTGCACGGGCGGCGGGTGCGGAGTCGACGGCGGGCGCAGAGCTGGCGGAGGGCGCGGAGTCTGCGCTCGATGCGGGGTCTGCGCGCGACGCGGAGTGTCCAGTGGACGCGGCCGTCCGGCGGATGTGTGGACGGGTGCCGTGGGCGTGGGCGTGAGCACGGTGGCGGGGGTGAGGGGAACGTTGCCCCAGTAGGCAGGGGCGAATCCGGGGAGGGGCACGGGGCCGCGCGAGGCCGTCCACTGTTGTTGTTGAGCTTGCTGTATCCGCTGCATTTCCTGCTGCCTCGCGACCTCTCTCTCCCGCTCCTCCCATGGTGGGCGGCCGTAGGCGGCACCGGCGGCGGAGGTCTGGGCGCACGGCACCGGCGCGTAAACCATCGGGATGGAGAAGTAGTATGGCGGTGCGCCTGCAGGGAAGTAGTACGCTGGCGGAGCCGCCATGGTCGGAGGGGACTGCTGCGCCCGCGCGGAAGAGGTGGTAGGCGGGGGAGAAGACGGGATGGGGAATTAGATGGGATGCGGCCCTCGGACGGGGCTTTATCGATATCGGACTGCGCGTGGATGGAAGCGGCACACGCTCCGTTGTGGGTCCCAATCACATCAGCACGCCCCGCGGTGCCTTGCGACCTGATTGCCCACACACACGTGTTCCCCCGTATTCTCTTCTGCGCATACGGCTGAACACACAGGTGCAGAATTATTCGTTGGAGAGTGCTGGCCGTTGCTGCCCTCAGTGGCGTCCGGCTCCCGGGGTCGCTGGAGGGCGGCTTGAGCTGGGAATCATCACACTCTCCCAATCGCCGTCCGAGTTCAACAGGCGTCTGGCGTCGTTTCAACTTCTGGTCGCTGACTTGATAATCCGGTTGTGGTAGTTCCAGAGTGAAACAATCGCACCTCGAGTACTTACTACTAATATTTGTAATACTCGGAACCCGAAGGGCGCGGACGTCGAGGCTGACGCGTCGAGACTGTGGTACTTCTTTTAGAGGGCGAGGTGCGTACACGACCACTGGATGAGGGTAGCGTGCTCGGTCGTCAGCTTCGAGGGACAGGCTGTTGTCGCGACGGACGCGGTCAATCCTGGGTACGGTAACGGACGGCGCCGGTGGTGCCGGGCCGCTACCCGGGCGATTCAACCTGTGTAAACTGCGTTCAAAACTACGCCAGCTACTGAGTGTAAGTATCCGGTTTGCATTGGGAAAGCACTCATCATCGTGTGCGCGCCAGTGCCTGCAGAGTCGAGGAAGCGATCGAATCTAGATTGGCACCACTTTCACACGCACGGGCCGCGTTTGTCCAGGCACGCACTGCGAGTCGCCACATCTGTGACCTCCCCAAATTCTCCCCAACTGCACGGTCTGTGCCTCAAGACTCTACGCTTTTATATGTGCTCGTTTCAACTGCACATTGTCCATCGTTCCTTCCAACTAGAAGAATCCCGCCTTCCACGTGGCCGAATACGCCAAACTTGTCTTGGCGCAGCGTCCCCGATGTCATTTTGGAGGGGAAATGCGTTTACTTGTTCTTTATCGATGCTGTGGAGTGCGCTCGTACGTCTCTTTCTCATATCGAGCGCAGCAATGGGGGTGCCCGGGTGTCTTGGCGGCGATCCCGTTGACGATGGGATCACTACCACGGTCGGGCAGACCACGACGTCCCTATGGACGATTATGAGATAGGCAGTACCCGTATTCTCAGTGTATCAGTCGGATTATTTGTCCGACGGCTACTCTGGGTGGGGTTGCGGTACCGTTTTGCACATTTTGGGTCATACATAAGCTTTTTGGGGCTGGGAGATCGCGGGGCGTCCGTTCGCAGCTCAAGCGAGTAGTCTCAAATGCTACGCGGCTCCGAGAGCAATGGGATAGTAGTCTGGGGGATGATACGGTCGTGAAAATATGAAAGTTCCTCTCTTGGGCAAAGACGGCCTAAATGGCTTTGAGCCACGACTGTACGCAGACCGCATACATCGCAGTGCCAGGGTTGCAACCAACCCCCTGTAAGGCCCATGGTTGCAACCAGGGCACAGTTGCAACCGTACCATGGTTGTAACTATACTAGTGTAGAAGTACTACCTCCAATGATAGATAATTATTCGAAGGAGCTGTAACCCGTTTTCTGGAAGTCAAAATGATCGCTGCCCTCAGGAATCGAACCATCGACCTTACACTGCGAAAGCGCCAACGGTGCGCCCAACCACTACACCATGAATCCTTGCTTCCCTATACATGTGTATAGACTATGACATCAACTTTATGACTATTATGTATTAGTATCCTTATAACGACGATCACTTTTCTTGTTGCTTCACGGTTTGTGATGATATTTTGGCTGTCCCGTCGCTTTCTCTCGTTGTACGGGGCTCGCGGCTGCACCAGTGATCGGTGTTGCAGGGCACACTTGTGCTCCATAGGAGTGGCTAACCTACGGTAAGGGGCTGGGTATGAGAATTAGTGCAATGAGGTATGTACACGAGTGCGCTTCGTATGGGTCCAACCGTGCTTCGGTTGTAAGTATGGTTGCACTCATACAAAGGTTGTCGCGGTTGTAACCGTGGTATGGTTGTAACCATACAGCGGTTACAACCGTGTCGCCCGTGTCGCGGTTACAACCGTGTCGCGGTTACAACCGTGTCGCGGTTACAACCGTGTCGCGGTTACAACCGTGTCGCGGTTACAACCGTGTCGCGGTTACAACCGTGTCGCAGGTCGCGGTTACAACCTGTCGCAGGTCGCGGTTACAACCTGTCGCAGTTGCGGTTACAACCGTGTCGCAGTTTGCGGTTACAACCGTGTCGCGGTTACAACCGTGTCGCAGTTGTCGGTTACAACCATGTCACGGTTACAACCGTGTCGCAGTTACAACCGTGTCGCAGTTACAACCGTGTCGCAGTTACAACCGTGTCGCAGTTACAACCTTACGGCGGTGGTTGCGACCGTGCTTCGCTTGGAACCCCGACACCAGCGTGTGGGGCGCATGAGCGCGTGGAGCATGGACGCATGCCTATCAGCCCAGTACAACCCTACAAGTACTTGGTTTTCTATTGATATCCTCTCCGTTGGACATAGGCAGTGGGGGCGGCGCAGAGCCCTCCCGTTCGGACGCTCTTCTCGTCAGCCCTAGCAGGCACCCGCTTGGACCGGTCGTGTACGGACAGGGACCATGGTTTGGGCCGCCTCGCTATGGCCCCGTTGTCAACACGGGACGGATGCGGGAGACAAGAGGACGTCATTAAGACACCGACGTCATTCGAGGCACGCCCGAGGTGGCTGTGCCCCAGGCGCGCCTCGGGGCCTGAGCGCTGAGCTCGAGTCCGAGTTTCTCGGACTCCGGGGTTCTTTGCGCACGCCCAGCGCCCGGGCCGCTCCCCGCCCCGGTTTTCCCGCGCCTCCGCTACGCCTGCGCGCGCGGCGCTCAAGTTCGCGACGCCGTTCCTCTGTCTCCTCACTTCTCTCCCTCCCTCTCTCCCTCGTTCTCTCCCTCGATCTTCGCTCTTCAAACTCTTCTCTTTGCTCTCGCTCTAGCTCTCGTCATCATGGCTGCGATGCACCCCGGCCACAGAGAGGTGAGCGTTCCATTCTGGTGCAGATCGCGCGTGCTTACCCTTTTCCGCAGGTCCTCGAGGCCATGATGCACACGAGCTACACCGAGATTCCGGTGGGCAGAATAATGGCGGTGAGCTCTCTCCTTCTTATCTCGCCCGCCGCGCTCACCTTCGCCTGCCAGGCTCTCCACCACGGCCTCGGTGCCGAGACCTTCCGGCGGGGGAACAAGATCCATGTTCGATTCCGCGCGGGCAGATGCCGTCTGCGTGGCGCCAACGAGCAGATCGAGAAGTTCCATACGGTGCGTCGTTTCGTTTTGCACTCTGTCTCGCGCGCGCGCTGACATGGCTCGACAGCCCCACGACCGTCTGGGCAACGTTAGCGGCCACCACTGTCACATGTAAGTTCATCTCCACCCTGCGCGCGCGACTGTTGACGATACTTGTGATAGAATTGGCCGTTGGATTATCAACACCTTTAACTTTGAAGGCCAGCGGTTCAAGCACTGGGAGTGGGAGCTCGTCTGTCGTCGTCCGTGGCAGGCGCCCCCTTGAACGCCGAGTAGCCCGTAACGTACCGTACCGTAACTTAACTCTTCGTAATGCTTTGAAACCCCTCTTCCATCGTGTTAAGCTTGAAAGGTTATAGTATTAGTTGATGTTCGGTCATGTATAGTACTTGTATGTCGCACCCATCAAATATATTTCCTCTCCCCATGCACGTCCGCTCCCGCTGTCACTGAGAGAGGATTCCGAGCGGCCACTGCAAGGTACATTGGCCGGACTCACCGCTAATCATCCTCCTATTTCCAGTGATACATGCGCATCTCTTCTGTTCATCTCATCCCGGGCACCCACAAGGCGCGTCCAGGGACTCCAGGGTTCTTTGCGCACGCCCAGCGCCCGGGCCGCTCCCCGCCCCGGTTTTCTCGCGCCTCCGCTACGCCTGCGCGCGCGGCGCTTGCTGGCTCGCGCGCGGCGCTCAAGTTCGCGTTGTTCCTGTCTCCTCATTTCCCTCGCTCGCTCTCTCTTTCGCTCTCTCCCTCGCTCTTCGCTCTTCGCTATCTTCTATTTTCTCTCTCTCTCGCTCTCGCCATCATGCCTGCGATGCACCCCAACCACAGAGAAGTGAGCGTTCATTCTGGTGCAGATCGCGCGTGCTTACCTTTTCCGCAGGTCCTCGAGGATATGATCCACACACGCCACTCCAAGCTGACGCTTGGACGCATCGAGGAGGTGAGTATTCCGTTCATTATCTCGTACGCAGCGCTCACCTTCGCCTTCAGGCTCTGCATTACGGTCTCGGCGCCGAGGTGGTTCGCCGGGACAACACGATCATCGTTCGATTCCGCGCGGGTAGGTGCCGTGTGCTCGCCGCGAACGACAACGTTGAATCGTTTCATGCGGTATGTCGTTCCGTTTCGCATTCGGTCTCGCGCGCACGGCTGACATGGCTTCATAGCCTCACGACGGCAGAGGGAACGTTAGTGCCCACCACTCTCACCTGTAAGTGCATCTCTACCCTGCGCGCGCGACCGACGACGAGACACTTTACAGAATCGGGCGTTGGATAGTGAAAAGCTTCAACTTCGAAGCCAAGCGTTTCAAGCACTGGGAGTGGGACCTGATGTGCCGTCGTCAGTGGCAGGCGCCCGCTTGAACGCCGAGTAGCCCGTAACGTACCGTACCGTAGCTTAAACTCTTCGTAATGCTTTGAATCACACGTACATCTTTTTTGCCTTGAAATTCTGTAGTATTAGTTCATGTTCGGTCATGTACAGTACTTGGATGTCACCCATCAAATATATTTCGTCTCCCCAGCCATGTCCGTTCACACTGTTACTGTGAGAGAGGACATCACCCATTCAGAGCGGGCACTGCAAGGTACATTGACCGGACTCACCGCTGACCATCCTCCTCTTTCCAGTGAGACATGCACATCTCTTCTGCTGATCTCATCCCGTCACCCATAAGGCGCGTCAAAATGCACTTCGCAGGCGTCGCCCGTTGGTACGTGTTCCACCAACTAACCCTTCTCACATTCGCGCACACACACAGTCCGCTCCCCCAGTGCCGCGCAGTAGACGTGCGGATGGCGGCGCGCTCTCCTAGTGCGCGTTTGGTTAAAACCGCAATGCTGTCGTGCTCGCGTTCGCCGTGAACCTCTCACGTCCGCCCTTGCGTCCGCGCTTCGCCTTGATGCGTCGGCATCATGTGGTACCCTCGGACATCCAGCCGGGGACAGACTCGATACCTGCTGGTCGATGCACTTGCACACGGCGAGAAAGACGCGGGAAATGGGATGTATGTCTACTGTGTACTGGCCTACACTGCTTATTCTGTACGTCGTGAACGCTTGCGCCCGGCCTGAGGAGCATTTCAATACAGCACACGTCGAGGTACAAACTCCGCTTTACCTTATTTTCACCGACATTCATGTCAAAGCTCTTCTGAAATATTGATTAGCTAGTGAGCTTTGGCCAGGCAAGGTACGTACGGAGTGGAAAATCTTCTGGTCATGACCCTTTGTCTCCCACAGGTGGATAATCTTCGACGCGTGCAGAGGCCAACGGTTACGGAAAGAACGGATCATGATCACGTTCTGTGCAGGAATAGGTTTATCGCTCTTCCTTGCGATCCACCGGGAACGGTAGTGGCTCCAGTACCAGATATTACCGGAGTCGAGGTCTAAGATCTCCGACGGGTCGTGAGGGCCCTTCTTCGTCTCCCCCTTGTAAGCCTGGAGGAGCTCTCCGTATGTCTTCCCTTCGTTCTGGATGAAGAACGTCGAAGGAAGGGCGAACTCATCGGCCTGAGAGCCCCTCAGAGCCTGCAGGTTCCCGAAGTAGGGGAGCACGCACCTTCAGCCAAGCGATCACCATCAGTCCGTTGCAGCCCTGCTCCAGGTCGAAGTTGAACACCAGCCGCAGAGTGTCTTCGCCCTTCAGCAGGTATTCATCCCACTTCAGTAACTCGGCTCCCAGGTTCTTGCTCTGCCCCGACTCTTTCTTCCTTAGGAGGATCGCGAAGGTGAGAGCGCTCAACGGTATATGGTCGTCGAAGCTGACTTCCTCCCAGTTACCTCGGATCCAGTGCTCTAATTGTTCCCCAGCATCCTTCAAGCTCCGGAGAAAGGGTGTGTCTTCCCAACGGACCACACCAGGAACGACACCAGCGCGCACAAAGAAGGCCCGCTCTGGACCCGTCTAAACGCATCTCAGTACATGGTTGGTTCAACAAGAAAATCCACTCGCTCCTGCCCAATACTTGCCGTGCATACTTCCGGTATGGGGCTCCTGGGCCATTGTGTGTTGTGAGGATGGTAGTCTAGGCGCAAGGGCACCGTGGGCGATGAGGACGCGGGGGCGGCGAGGACGGCACTGGGACGCGGGGGCGGCGGGACGCGGGGGCGGCGGTCTCTTCACTCCCTCTACATTCGCATGATAATTGAGCCCCTGGATCCATCATTCCGCTCTCCAGCGCGACGGCTTGATAAGCCTCTATCACCGCCGTGTCCATTGGGCTGTCGATCATAGGTCATGCAAAGCACAGCGACGCGTCGAATTCATGCGTCGTACCGCGACCATATCTCCGTCTCTCCGTCGCCGAAATGTATGTTTCTCCCACACCATGCACATGTATCTACTTCGTACTTATATATCCAAGCCACAGTCCTCAGTCTGACAGCTCAATTATGTCATCCTCCAACTTAACACGTGACGACGTGGCTTTGGACGGCGAAGGCAGGATACCAGAAGCCGTGGGGACTCTACCCAAGGACCAGGTCATGGGCGTTGCGTTCGTCGTCCTGGCAGAAGACGTCTGTGTCAACAGGTCAGCGTTGGGTTTCTGCGATAGTGCCGTACGTTACCTGTAGCATTGGCACCCTTTGATTGAGTGCCCCGTTTGACGGGCGGACGGCGTTCTGCATTACCATCTGCCCGTCCATAAGTATGAGTGAGGTCACGGGGACGGAGTAGACGTACCTTGGTTATCGCTCTCAGGGACGGGTCCAAGATACGCAATGCAGAGCCTAGTCCAGGTACTTCTCCATAGGAGAAGGTCTTGAACAGAACGATGGGCTCCTCGAGGTGCCTGACGAGGGAGATGGGGTCCTCGCCGGGCCAAAACGCACGCCATTGTGTCTGTTGACGTTCCCATACCCAAGACTTGCCATGCCGGAATAGCTCGGACTGAAGTTGTGCGATGTCGTCAGGGATGAAGAGGACGTCAGGACTAAAGCCAGCCTTTTGATGTGCCGTGGTGGGGCGTCAGCTGCGCCGACACGCTTAAGCAACCGCACGTACCATGGTCCACAACAGGGCTACGCGTGGGTGTGTCGAATTTTCGACGCCCAGAGAGCTGAGAAGGTCTTCGTCGCCCGTTTGACTTCGTGCTTGTTCCCAATAGGTGTAGAAGGTGCTGAATTGCAGGCAGCATCCCACGTCAGTGGAGCGAAGGAACAACTTGTGGATATCGCTCAAGGTGATCGCCATCGGTTCAGAGGAGATTTCTTGCCACTCCTGCCTCATCATGTCAAGACGACGGAAGGCGTGTACAGGGCTCAGAACCTTCTTCAGCCTGTGGTTCAGAGCAAGGGATATCTCCCCATTGCGCGCGTACACCGGAATCTCCACAGGCGATTCATGTTTCTGTGGAGCACATGTTCAGACGTATGTGTTGGACAGATGAGGGGGTAGTATTGCTTACGTCTAGCCAAACCATCGCATCGACCAATTCGTCGCCCTGTCGTTGACCTAGAGGTGTCGGGGACTGTCGTGCACGTCAGCAGGTGATGTATAACGTGTTGGGGTGCAGGTTCTTACCCTAGATCTCCCTCTCGGAGGTGGAGTGGAGAGCCTTTCGTGCTGCTTCGCAGCGTTTTTGCCCTTAGATATCCTCGAGGTGGTGCGTTTGCGCGTCGGGGACTTCGACGATCGAGTGAGGCCGCGCGACGTGCTCATTGAAAGACGCACTCACCTTGCGCCGTGAGGGCACCTCTTGATGAACTCTGGCCGTGACCTTGGCCTTGGCCTTCTTCGCCGCTGTTAGCTTCGAACGGTTGTCATCGCGCGGACGCAACGCCATCTCCGCGGCGATGATGTGTTGAAGAGATTTGAGCATGTTGACGACGTCGGGGGTGTCATTGTACTCCTTAGGGTTGGGCTCCCGAGCCATGTCGTAATATCGTTGGGCTTCGATCATCCGTAGCTGCTTCTCCGGCGGCCCAGGTTGTGGTGGAAAGAACACCTTCAGGCAGAAGGGGCACTGTGCGCGTTTGTGAGCGTGCGGGGGGTTTAGTAGGACACGTATAGCACCACTCACCTTCACTGAAGCCGTTCCTGCGTGGCCTATCTTGTACACAGGAAACGCTGGGACCTCGCGATCGATAGTCTGGCCACAATGTGAGCAATTGGAACCGACTGCGTCTGGGAGCCTGTCTGACAGCCCAGCCAGACACTTTTCACGGATGGGGTCGGTCATGGTCTTGACGTCGTTAAGGTTGCGACCGCGTGTCACCAAGTGAATGCCCTTCTTCGTCGAGTACAGACGGGTTATGAGAGGTAGAGACATGTTACGGGTGAGTGTGATGGCTGGACGGCGCAGCAGGTCAAGCTGAGGGAGACGGGCGGGTGGGGGACTGGGCGTCGTGCTGTCGGGGAGTTCAAGCAGTCGATATCACCGGCGGTACGTGTGTGGATGGCCTGAGATGTACACGCGGTCGAGTATTTCCCAAAGAACCATCAGACCGCTTCCAAACGGTCGCTCTTTTCGGAGTCTGACGCCCCACCCTGTCCATTGCCGCTCCCTAGGACTGACCGCCGAACGGAGTCCCGGGGTCTGGGGCGGCTGTCTGAGCGTCGTCGCCCGGACCCCCTGCCTGTGCATCATCTTGGGTAGCGTTGATGGTCCTTAATCTGGGTACGATCAGTTTAGTCTCAAACACAAGGTATCGAACTCACGGATCTAGACCCCTTGCCCTGGCACTAGGCCGCCTTGTCCTGGGCTTACTTGTGACGCTGTTCGCGTAGTCCACTACGCTTTGGAGAAGTGCGCGTAGTTTCCTAGGCGCAATGCTGGCCACGATCTCAGCTACACATGAGGTCAGCGCTTTCCCTTGTTTCAGACATGCGTACATACCGTCGGTCCTCGTCGTCATATTTGATGTGTCTTCCTCAGCCATCCAGGCTATGTGCTAGGTGTTTGAGATCGCCCCGTTGCCGTCTGGCTGATATTACATTCCTCTGCACTAGGCCACATGGGACGGCGTACTCTATCTATCCTATCATGTGTTGGATGGCATGTCGTTGGGGTCCACGTCGTTGGGGTCCACGTCGTTAGGGTCGATGTCCATGTCCCTTGACCCCTAGCACCGTCCCTCGCATCGGCGGCATCGGCATCCTCCTCATTGGGCGCGTGCGCGTCCTCCTCCGCGGGTTGCTCGGTTTTGATACGAGGCTCGAGCCCCTCGAATTTGGGAAAGCTCAGACGAGTCTGCACGGAGAACTTGGATGAAGATGAGCGATAAGCCTGTCCCCAGATTCCTCGCCGACACGCTCACCTTTGAATGCCACGCCTTCCCTTGTTTGCCCGCCTTCTCCCATTGCAACATGATCTCACTCGCGTTAACCGGCCAGGAGTTGTGAACGTTGCGTAACAGGACGAGCGAGCCAGATGGCGCTCTTTCGGATGGGCATCGGGGAACCCATTGGGAAGTGCGGTAATGCCAGAGACGCAAAGACGAGTGAGGCTCACCCTGCGCCTGGTCAAATACTCCAATGGATTTGGTCTTGCCTTCGACGAGTGCCTTGCACCTTTTCAGCAGACGATGGTAGGTAGCGCCTTCCATGTTTCCAACCCAGCACATGTACGGGGCCGCGCTTTCGTCGGCCTGAGGGAGTATAAATGGCACACCCGACATCCGTATGGCTTGAAGTACGCACCTCGATCCAGGCCAAAACCACCGTGCCAGAATCCATCCCACACTCCCAAGGCAGATCGTAGCGTTGAGAGGGGCCAGGGTTCCCCCGTTCAGCGCACGATCCCATTCCCTCAGCTCCTCCGCCAAACCAACACAGAAGCCTATTTTTGACCCACGGAATAGCAGAGCCGGCGTGTTGGCGGAGATCTCTATCGTGTCGCTCTCGTACCGTTTGAGTTCCCAGAAGCCACGTTGCCACGCGTATATCTCATCATCGTAATCGCCGAGGTACTCTTTGAGGACTTGTATGTCGGAGAGTCGCATGGAGTTTTGACGCACGTAGACGTAACGCCTTTCGGGCCCGGTGTCTGCCTGGGGGCTGATTAGAAAGGCCCTCGAAACACGTACAGGACGTACCTTCGCCCAAGCCAACATGGGCATTAAACCCCTGCTCATGGGTGGTTCAGACGAGTACAGAGGAGCGCAAGCGCAGGCTGGGCGTCGGGGCAGTGTGGGTGGGGGGTACAGGATATTGGACGGGTGGGGACGACGGAAGATGAAGGACGTGCGGGATGAAGGATGGCGGGAACGGAAAACGAGGGACGGAAGAGGGGTCGCTTTCACTCCCAGGATCAGTCCCTCCATTCTCGCCGTGGGTAGTACCGCTTCCCCTAGCGTGCGCGCGTGCTTTCTTAATGTAAGCAATCTGGAGAATACGAAGGCGGCCGATTACATGGACTATGGAGATACCGGAGTATGCAGAACTACGGACATGACACGCGCACGGACAAGTCGCGCGAGGACGATTCGCGCGCGCGATGAGACCAACGATATAGTCGTGGAGGACTGACTACATCCTTCCCTTCTTCTGAGTTTTTTTCCCACCCCTCGCCTTGTTTCCAGCAGCAGCCGCCTCCTCATAATCAGAGTCACTGGCAGAGGTATGCAATCAGAGCCATATTTCGGGCAACCATACGCACTCACCGCTGGTCACGAGACCTCTTCTTCGATGGGCCGGCCTCCGACGGTCCGGTGTCCGACAGCTCCGCGCGTGCTTGCATAAACACCTTATCTCTAGCTGCACGCTCCGCGTCTTCGGCGTCCTCCATGGTCGCGGCGCTGACATTTGGGTATGAGGCAACGCTGACATGCGTGATATCAAGTGCTTACCCTCCATTTTCTTCGTCATAGCGCGCCGGCAACTGGCCTCGGGTCCGTCGTGTCGGGAGCACCCTCTTCTCAGTCTCAGGGGCGAGTTTCTTGGCCCTCCCCTTCCCCTTTCCAGAGCCCTCTAGCCCAGGCTCCAACTCGGCAGGCGTGGGTGCACCTTCTCCATGATTGGAGTGTTCATGGGAAGGAGCGGTTTGACCTGACTTCTTACGATGACGAGGCTTAGGTGCAAGGGGGGCGTTCTCTGCCGAAGAGGCTGTAAGCCCGACATAGGTAGCGACCAATAACAGGGCTCACCGTTCTTCTCTAAGGGACCGTTTTTGCCAGTGAGCTTTTCACGAGTATTCGTGCGGGGGAGCGGGGGGAGCGTCGCGGCTTGTGTGATTGGAGTCAGAACCGGACGCCCTCAGAATGGATGAGCGCTCACTTGGGACAGAAGGCGCGGTGTTCTCCGCCGGCTCAGCCTGGGTGCTGGTGCTCGCCCCAGCCTTGGCCCGAGTATTCGTACGGGGGAGGGGGGGGGGAGGGGGAGGGAGCGTACGGCGGCGCGGTGTTCTCCGCCGGCTCAGCCTGGGTGCTGGTGCTCGTCCCAGCCTTGGCCCGAGTATTTGTACGGGGGAGCGGGGGAAGCGTCGCGGCCTCTGTGGTTGGAGTCAGCCATGCAACTGAAGCCGTAGAAGATTGCTGACCCTCTTGGTCGTCGCTCGAAAGGACGGGCACGCGAGGGTTCTTCTTGGTAGGCGCCGACCTGGATCCCGCGCCGCGCTCTATTCGAGAACGTCCTATCAGCGCAGATCTATCAGCGTAACAGATACGCGTACTGGGAGCGGGTTGCTGGAAATCTTCGTCGTCAGAGCTCGAGAGCACGGGCTCTCTAACTTTTTTCGTGCGTGACTTAGATGCACCCGCGCCGCGCTCTTCTCGTGGACGTGTGGTCAGCGCACCGCCGTAAGGGTAACCGGCATACATACTGGGAGCGGGTTGAAGCTCTTCGTCGTCGGCGGGTGCGCGAGGTTTCTTCGTGCGAGGTGCCGACTTGGTTCTACCTGCGTCACGCTCTGGTTGATCAATCATCAGTGGGGACACTATACATGAGGGCGCAACTGTCTACGCACTCGCTTTTGAACGCTTGGGTGCATTCCCGTCTCCAGGTTGTGCAATGGTGACCTCGAAGGTTTCCCCGCCTTGATCGAGGCCTTCTTCTTGGCGCCCTCTGCATATACTTTGTTAGCCCTTGTGAAGGGCATGAATGGAACGTCGCATACCGAAGGCAGGGGCTGAGTCGCTGTCCGCTTGCTGTCGCGCACCAGCATACCCATTAGCGTTCGTCGTGCCATTGCGGTCATGCTCGGGCTCGCCTGGCAAGGGGAGGGTGGGGTGTCAAACGGGTTTCGAGGAGGACCAATATGACGTACCGTCTGAGGCCTTGGTGACCCCACTGAGGTAGGCAGGCTTCCCGTAGGTCTTGCCACAGGTCTCTATTGGTGGCAACTCGTCGTTGTCGTTGTCGTTGTCGTTGTCGTCATCGTTGTCGTCATTGTCGTCATTGTCGTCGTCGTCGTCGTCGCAGTCGCGGTCGATTGACCTCGTCGTCGTCCTCCGTGTCCGTGCGCCATCGTTTTTCCTCTGGGAAACGTTAGGGAATGATCAAGAGAGCTTTTTATAGCCACGCACCCTCTACCATAGCATCCGCCCATTGCCA